TTTGTGATATCTTCCGCCGCTGTACAAGAGTTTCCAGGAGACACCTCGTGGAGGTGAAAGTCGGCTGGCTTGTTTATCTCCCGCCCCGGCACCTAGGGCAACGGACTGGTGTCGTCCGGGTTTTCGGTTTTCCATCTGCTCTCTCCCCGCCGGATTGGCCGACGGGTACGGGTTTTGTTACGTTTTCCTTCGCGAGAGGTGCCATTGCTGCTGCTGTTGTTGTTGTTGTCAAAGGCGCACGCCGTTAGGCAATGCGCCGGATCGAGGATCGCTGCGTGATAGCGGCCCACACCGCCGCATCGTCCACGATGCACATCCCACGATGGGACCTCCTGTGCATCCATCCCAGATTCACCACGACGTCGCGGTTCCTCACGAGCCAATCGATCGTCGTGGCGATCTGTTCCATCACCCGGGAGGTCGCCCTCTCCCGGCTCCGATAGGCCTCGGCGATGTCCCTGCAGGCGTCCAGGCAGTCCGTGGTGATGAAAAGGTCACCCTTCCGCGGGCCCTCGAGGCTATCGCGGGCATACTCCAACGCCGCGAGAATGGCCTTCGCCTCTACGACGACGTTGTCCACCTCACTCGGGAGGGCAACGGCCTCCTCTCTCCACTCGCCATCCTCGAAGAAGACGAACGCGAACCCCCCTGGCGAAGGGGGGCCCACGCGGCCTGCTTGCGGTGCGCGACGGATCGAGGCGTCGCAGGAGAACTCCGGCCAAGCTCGCGACGGAGGCGGCGGCGACGGCGATGGTGGTGGTGGTGGCGGCGGCGACGGTGGTGGTGGTGGCGGCGACGGTGGTGGCGGCGGCGGCGACAACGACGACGACGACGACATGCTGATGCTGGTGCTGGTGTTGGTGCTGGTGCTGGTAGTGCTGGTGCTGTTGCTGGTGGTGGTGCTGATGCCGTGGTGCTTTCGTCGTGTCGTTGTCGCTGTTCTGGAAATTGAGAAGCGGAAGCTGTAGAATTGTGAAGCCATTGGCCCCAAACGCGAGGCTTGGCGCCTCACATGTTTACAGCGGGAGCACCCGCGTCTGCCGCCTGGCAACACCCCTGCAAACCTCACCTGCTATTGTCCACACATCTCCCGAATATCCATCATGGAGGTGTCAATGAGAACCTCCACGAGACCATTGCATTGACGGGCTTTTGGGGGATACCTCCAAAAATAATTCAGGGGCATATGACCTAGTAAAGGGGGGACGCACCCCCTTCACGTCAACACGAATAAGAATCTCACAGCGGTCCAGATTCCTCTCGACTGACTACCTCCTCGACTTTTCCCATTGACGTGCCAATTGAACACTCCTCCGCGAGCATTGCATCCATCGATCTCCTCGGGATAGGATCGAGGCGAGCCGAGACGTATCGCCAATCAAAGAGGAGGGCATCCACCTCCTTCACCGAGCAATTTCTGGCTCGTACAAGCATACCCAGAAAATCTACCTTTATTTTGACCCTTTCACTCGCTATGAGTTCAAAGTGTTGACCTCTTGCTACAGCGCGCCTCATCACCCTTCGAAAAATCATCGCCTTCCGTAGCCGGACTCGGATCGGCGTTCGAAGCGCTCTGGATTCTTACCTTCATCGCGCCTTATGTCGGTCTCGAGCAACACCGTCGCCATCTAAAAACCAGAAACTTACTCTCCCGCTATAAGTAAACCCTACCTAAACTACAGTCTACTACAACAGCAACGTCACTCCGCTCGCTACGAGGAAAGAAACCGTAGGTATGACGAAGAGCAACACGGATTCAATACTACGAATTCGATACGACTAGAAACCACTATCCTATACATATCCTCTCGCTCTAGATAGAGGGCGATGAAGTCCCTGAAACCCACTCCCTCTAAGCTCTCCTTTATCAAAATCTGCCCAAGCCACAGTCTACTACTATAACAACAACATTAACAACAACAACAACAAAAACAACACTCCGCTCGCTACGAGGAACGACATCGCGGACGTGACGAAGAGGAAAACACGAATTCGATTCGACCAGAAACTACGATCCTATACATATACATACATACGCCATACACACGCTCTCGCCGCGCGGACTCCAGAGAGAGGATAGAGTAATACTAAGATCTGAAATCCCAACCCGACGACAAGAGAGCAAGAGCCAGAGCCAGAGCTAGAGCTAGAGCTGACCGACTAGCGGTCGCGATCGATTCATCCAGAATTCAGAGTCCTCCGCGCCGTGGACCAAAAGTCGGAGATATTGAAAGACCTGCCCCCTACGAGGCTTCATCACGCCATCCTATATCCATATCCACATCTTATCTCACTCCCGTACGTAGTCGAGGATGAGGATGAGGATCTCGGGAATCGACTTCTTAGGGATGAGAATTCAGATGGGAATGGAGATGGCTATACGATACAAGCGATTGAATAACTGGTGTCCTGTGGAGTGTGGATATTAGGAGGGGAGAGTAGATTGTACAGGGACGGACGAACTGATCAAGATGAAGATGGAATCGATTTTTTTTTTATTACGGGAATGGGAAATCAAAGTCAAAGACGGGGTACTCGGTAGGACACACCGTACCCTTCCTCTCCAAATCTCATCGAGTGGGTGCGCTAGTATACTAACATAAGCGTATTCATTCTCCTAGACGGTATGGGTAGTATATGCTATTTGCCCGTTATTCGGGAGAACGATCGAGAGGTACGGGCATTTATTCTCCTCGACGGTATGGATCGTGTGCTATTTGCCCGTTGATCGGGAGAACGATCGAGAGGAGCGGATTGTATTTGTCGTTAGGTGAGTGGAGAACGGGGAATGTAATATCATCATCATCAACTTCTCCATCGCGCACGTCTGCAGCTCTCTCTGATATACCGTGAACTCCTCCCGGCCAGAACAGTGTAGTGTAGTGTAGATTTCAGCGCTCTCGTAGGGATGAAAGCGAAAAGCCGAGAAGGCTTTCTCGCGCTGTCTCCATACTAGACGAAGAATTCTCTCGCCTACAAGCTCCAGACTTGGGACATTTCATATCCTGGGAGGAGGTGATGGCTCAGTAGAGTGAAGGTTATATTCTTGGCGTTTTGCACGTCTGGAGACAGTCCAGCCCGCGAGATGAAGTTCGATGGGTGTGTAAAGGAGAGAGCGATCGAATCTGTCTGGACGCTAGAGAAGCGGAGATCGTTTGGAGGCGGAGGAGGTGTTATCAGCAAGCAAATTCTTCTCTCCATCTCCATGCATCATCTCATCTGCGCCGCTGAAGCCATCCAATGTCACCTGGCATCTTTCCCACAATCCCTCCTTTTTGAAGAGCCCTCCCACAAAACCATCACCCCCAACCTTACCGAACTTCCTCACAACACATCCATCCGATGAAGAGATTCAAAAGATACTTTACACAACACAGAAGCCAGCTACCTTAGCCGGGCGAGAATCGAATCGAATCGAAATTGAAGTGAAGTGAAGTGAAGTCCACCCGGCACGGCCAATGCACGATCCTTCCCTTCCATTCCCCCGCTAAGCCGAATTCCGGCATCGCATCCCGACGCGACGGGAGCCAAGACTTGGAATTCGGCTTTCAAGATTCCAAGGCATCTCACTGCTTCTACGACGACGACGAAACGGATAGGAAGTTGGGAGACCAGACGAAACACGCATACGGCGACCGGAGAGAGGCACGTCGTGGAGTACGTTTAGGCGAAGAATCCGATGTGTGGGTGATTTCGCGTGGCCGGACGACCTCTAGTAGTCTGGATGTCGGACGTGTGAGCGCGGCGGGAGGAGGAGGAGGAGGAGGCAGGGAGGGAGGGAAAGATGGAGATTTTTCTGGCGGGGAGTGTGCGGGAGAGGTGGGTTGGGTGGTGATGAGGCATTGCGCCCGGACCGGCTATCTACACGCTCGACCGGACGGAGACATTAACCCGATTTCTCCGGACCCGATCCCTTATTGCGCAAAGCGGATTTCACTACTCGCGAACGAATTGGACAGTCCTCCACCATCTTATGTACAAGAACATCCTGAGGGTACAGCCTCTGCGGACAAGCCAAGACAGCAGTCGACGCCGCACATCTTTCCCACCTTCCGCCGCCGTCGTCCTGCGCACACTACTACTACCTGTACGACGCTTTCCGGTCCACTTGGGAGAGACCGCCGGTATGGAGGATGAAGACCTCTTTCTTGTCGTGCAAGATCAACCGGACACCTTTGCAAGAGCTCAGCTCGTCCGGCTGTCGCAGTGCATCTCTCGGGTGTGTATCCGGACGGAAGTACTGCAGCATACGGTTGTTCGGGTTCCTGACCTCAATCCGGAGATTCTACCTGCCCCATGCGAGCAAGAGATGCGTGTCATCAATGGCCTCGATCTGTGATCGGCACCCGGACGTCGACTGTGCTGCTTCTTACAACAATGAAATGCTAGAACTCACCTCATGGAGCCGTCCGATGCCGGAGAATCCTCGCTCGCTCGCTCGCTCGCTGGACGTGGTGACGGGGATTCAGTTGTCATGCGGCGAGAAGACATTTTTCCATCAGGTACGTCGGCGCAGGTGGAAATGGCGGCGCATCTCATCTCGGTTGGCGTCGGCCTTCCTTTCGTGCTGAGGCGGCCAAGCACCAAGCGGCCTCCCGGGGTCAGAGGTCAGAGGTCTTGGCATCTGGGGAGAGATCTCGACATTGGCGACGCCCCGATATTCGGCCGATGAGACAGTGTGAGATTCCGCGGACGGCCTCTGACGGCTCAATTCCGGCACGCTTCAGGAATCCGGGGAAGTCGCCGAGATCGCTCATCTCCCACCCCCACCCACACCTGCCTGCACCTGCGTTGGACCTGCCTGAACGGGGCCGGAAGCGCCTTCCGCAGCCCCCGAAGTGGTGGATGTCGGCACGTGATGGCACCTTCCAGCAAGGTCCACTCCACTCGTCAACACCGACGATATCCGACTCTATTTCTCAATTTTATCTTCCTTCGCCCATTGTCGTCGCTGCACTTCTTTCTCATCCACCACACTTCCACATCTTATCATTCATTCCATGGCTTCCATCGTCGTCTCCTCCCGCCATGCCTTCTCCCGACACACCCTGCTCGCCAACTCCCTCTCCAATCCCCGTCCGCACCTCCTCGCCCGATCGATAGCGACGACCAAGTCGCGCAAGGATGGCGAACATGTCCTCTCCCCACCGCTCATCCCCATGACGCCCGCACAGACAGCTCCCCCACAACGCCGACCACTGGCCAGCATGCCGACCAAGACGTTACTACGCGGATACCTCCTCGGACAGATCTTCGCGCGACCCGCCCTGATGAATCTGGGCATCATGGTGATGCAGAAAATCTCCAGCTCGAAAAGCCTCCTCCTGGATCCCGACCGCAACTGGCTGCTGGAGCGCGCGATCCGGTATTCCGTCTTCAACCAGTTCTGCGCGGGCTCCAATAAGCGGGAAGTAAAGGGTACTGTTACTGGTTTGAAGCAGCAGGGCTTCAGCGGCGTCATCTTGTGCTATGCCAAGGAGCTGGCGCCCGAAGAGCTCGCCGAGAGCAGGCCCGATGCTGCGCTGGTGGAGAAGCACGTCTCGCAGTGGCTGGATGGCAATAACAAGACGCTGCAGATGCTGGGGTCGGGAGACTATATGGCCATCAAGTAAGGAGTCCCCTCGATGATGTGGAGAACGCTTCTCGATATCACTTCTTCACAGGGAGACCGCTTTTCGAGATGATGGGAGAATCCACTAACTCTCTCCAGGTACACCGGCGCCGGTAATGCCGTCTGCAACGCCCTGGCTTCCAACATCGCACCACCCGACAGCTTCCGCACGGCCGTCTTCTCCCTCTGCCAGCGAGCACAAGCGCAGGGGGCGCGAATCATGGTCGACGCCGAGAACCAAGCCTATCAATCCACCGTCGACCGATGGACCGTCGAGCTGATGCGCCGCTTCAACCGCGACGGCAAGGTCGTCGTCCTCAACACATACCAATCCTACCTCAAGAGCTGCCGAGACACCCTCCGGCAGCATCTCGCACTGGCGCAGAAGGAAGACTGGACCCTCGGCGTCAAACTCGTCCGGGGCGCCTACATCCAATCCGACCCGAGGCACCTCATCCACGACACCAAAGTCGATACCGACCGCTGCTTCGACTCCATTGTCGAGGATTTGATCTCGAAATCATACCCCGGACTCCCATCGGACGCCCCCTTTCCCGACGCGCAACTCTTCCTCGCCAGCCACAACGCCGAGTCCACCCGCCACGCACTCCGTCTGCATCGTCAACTGGTCCACGCCGGTCGGAATCCGCGACCTTTTGAGTCTGGACAATTACAAGGCATGGCCGACGACGTGAGCTGCGAGATGCTCGACGAGGGCAGACCCGCCCGCAACAACGGCTCCGCGGAGCAACGGCTCGCTGCGCCTCTGGTCTACAAGTACCTCAGCTGGGGTAGTGTGAAGGAATGCCTGCATTACTTGATGCGACGCGCGACGGAGAATCAGGGCGCGACGGAGCGATTGAAGGAGACGGTGGTGGAGATGCGGAATGAACTGAAAGCGCGGGTCCGGGGGGGCAGGGCGTGAATCTACTCGCTCCATACCCTGGTTGGACTGTTTGCCTTGTCTGCATAGCATAGCGATGGCGTTTTTCTCTCTTTTTTTTTTTTTGTTTTCAATTTGCATGGCATGGCATGGCATGGCTACACAAGCCGGTGGGACCGGACTTGACTTGACTGGCCACGTAACGAAGATTGATGACCCATATGATGATGAATTGATAGAGGAGGAGATGCAAATTGGAAATTTGAAATATTTAGTACTTCAGAAGACGCTCTTGGCTCTTGACTGCAGAGTTTTTCTTTTCTTTTTCTTTTCTTTTCTTTCTTTCTTTTCTCGGAACTGGTTCTGATTCTGATTCTGATTCTCATTCCGCAGCAGAGAGTTGACTTTTTTCCCATGAGGAGGAGACTTGTAGCGAATATGAATATGAATATAAGTATGAATGCTCTCGTACCAAGTCAGGGCGTCAATCAGTCAATCAATCAACCAACCACTCAGCCACTCAGTAGCCGTCACGATATATCTATATACATCCTTATATCTCCCTTCCCTCCCCTTTCCCCCCCTCTCCTTTCCTTTCCAACGTTTGCTGTAACTCGTATACAACAACGTTCGAAAAATCGATCGATCGATCGATCGATCGAGAATCAGAAAATCAGATAAATCACGAGCACGAGCGGGGATTTCCGTCCGATTTCTAATATTGATTTTCGGGGCGGGATTTTTTATGTCTCGTTTTTTGCTCTTTGTTATGTCTTCTTCTTCATTTCTTTTTCCTAATTTCATTTTTTTCTCTTTCTCCACACTTTTTTCCTTCTCACGCCTCTCCCCATCCACGAGGCATTTCAAACCTCAAAACCTCCAAACCTGCAAACCTCCAAACCTCCTCCAACCTCCAACCCCACCGTCCGTCTCCGTCCCTCGTCAAAAACGTCTCACCCCCGCCCGCGGTCTTGGATCTCTTTTGGATCTATTCCAGAATTTTTTATTTCTCCCTCTGTGAGTTTTTTTTTTCTTGCTTTTCTGAAACTGCCTTGGTTGAAAAAGACCGGCGAGGGTGAGAGGGCGAAGGTGTAATTTTTTTCTGTTTCGTTTTTTTGATTTGATTTTTTTGATTTTGATTTTCAGGGTCGAGGGTCGAGGGTCGAGGGGATGGGGGGATGGGGGATGCCATGCTCTTCGGGTGCGACCTCTCATGTTCGACGGACGATTGAGCCGGGTTGCTGTCTGGGTAGGTAGGCAAGATTGAAGCGAATCTTCTTGGCCGTGACGAGTCACGAGAGGAGAGAGGTCGCAGGTAGATATCGTGATGCTGTGGTGGTGTGAAGGACCGGAGACAATTTATTCCCGTCTTTAAAGGGGGTTGACTTGTGACTTTTTTAAGCGGCGGGTATTACTGTGATTCATCCGATTCGGGGGTAACGTTATATGCGGGCGGAGTTATCTTGATTGTTGATGTGGTTGGTACATGTCGCTCTATCTTGACAGTCTGGTCTTGTCGACTCCTGTTTAGGAGATCGTGGTCATTCTGAAAGTGGTGGAGGAGGATGGCGGATTTTTGGGGTTTCGAATTTGGAGTGGAAACGTCGTTGTCATATCTCAATGTCATTGTCGTATTCGATGATATCTATCTCGACCTCGGAGGGGATGAGATGGTGAGGGAACTGTTAGAAAGCATTCTGCTTGTGTGACGGAGGTGCAGCTGCATCGGCCACGGTCAACTCCGTATCTCACACCTCTGCTGAGCCGTCCATTGCTTATAGTCGATCAAAAACCTTCAGCAAGAGTAAGAAGGATTTAGGGTTCACAGTCTTGCCTTCTAGCTTCTTCGACCTTTCTTCTCCGGGCTGGTCGCTCCCGAATCTGATACTAGCTCTGACTTTGAGAGAACGTAGCGTTGATGATTCGTCGTGAAATGTATCGATCAGCTATATCAAAGGCGAAGACGGTGCTCAGCGCGCGGAGTTAAAGATTAGGTATAGAATCGCATCAGACGTATCGCCCTGGACGGGGAGTAGTTTATCGGATGAGAATTGATTTATTTGGTCAGTACAGGGAGATGCTCTCGGAATAAGCGATAGTAGAGAAGCGGTCGGAGTTTCTTCGTTCGATTGGTTTAGGGTTGTCTGCTGCAGTGTCTGCTTGGAGGTATGTCTCTGTTAAGCGAATCCCTCGCGAACGGGTGTGCGTATCGTCCTTGTCCAGCTCGCTTATATACTTCGTTATTCAAGTCGAGATTCGAGATTCTTGATCGATCCATTAGCCGTCATAACTGTCTTCGAGTCGAGACGAACGGGGAGTTTCATCGTGGTAATTTGTGGGCATTGGTGAAGCAGCTTGCTGGAATTTTTTCCGGCGCTATGCGTGGCGATCGCGGGAGATCGTCACCGTCCATTGATGTGGGTCCTGTAGAGAGAGCGGTTGTACCCGCAGGGTGCAGCAAGATACAGGTGATCATGTTTTTATGAGCAGAGGCCTGACAGACGCCGAGAAGAGATATTGGCCGACCGAGCTCGAGTACTCCGGGGTGGTTTGGGTGGTGCGGAAGATCCACCACCTGCTCCACTCGGCGCAGAGACCGCCCATCTTCTTTACTGACTACTACGCCGCGGTGGGAATGAGCGAGCAAGGCTCTTTGACCACGACGACCTCCACGGACCGTCTCAACCTCAAGCTTGTGCGCGCTGCCACTTACCTTTCCTAGTTCCGACTGAGGGGGGATTTATCGCTCAGGGCGTATCCACACCGTTCCAGACGCCCTGAGTCGTTTGCTCGGAGACACGGAGACGCCTAAGCTCACCCCGGACGCCGAGAACCTTGACCCGTTCGCCTTTTACACGATGCTGGTGGAAATGGAACCTCGAGTTCAAAGCTCGCCTCTCTCAGATCAAGATCCATTTTTGGAAACCGAGCGATTCTCCGCAGGGATGTTCAGAGGAGTAAGGCACAGTTAAAGCCAGACGGGCAATTGCTTGGAAAATGCAGGGGAAGGAAGCGTTGTTTTGTTGAAACTGATAATTCTCTTGACGAAGGAAGCACAGGGAGCGCTCGCTTTCCCAGGGGAGTGTCGAAGAGGGGGGTTCTAGCGTGTGTAAATGAGTGGCCCCGATCAAGCTATCCCCGTGGTCGGAGAATCCGTCGCACAGGGCTGGCTCTCTACCAGACGTTCTTGGAATGGAGGATGTGACGAGCGGCAGAGCCATCGTGCATCTTTGTCGACGCCTTCGTCTCCGGAAGTGCGTTGAACAGAGTCTTGAAGGGTATCGATCCTCAGAGAGAAGCCTGCAAGAGCCGTCCAGAAGGTCACGATCGCACCGGATTTCTGCAAGTCATCTGGGAGCCGCACGACCAGAGCGTAGACGGAGTGTACAGCTGCTCGCTGATTTCGGGTTCGGATCTGGGAGTAGACGCATTCATGTCCCTCGCCACGTGATATTATTCTGGCCGCGGACTGTACACAGCGTACTCTGACTGCAGCTTCGGGGTGACGTCTTCTGGTGCGGTCTCTTACGGACACGAACAGCCGTCTGTGCCGCTGCCAAGCCCATCACATGTCGGTGCAGGCGTTTGTTCATGATGGGGTTTCTGTCGATCGTCCTTTATGCCGAAGAATGTGTTTGCATGCTATAACTCTCCGCCTTGTCGTCCAACAACCGTAGAGTGATTGGGAACAATGCTGAAAAGGCGAAATCTGGAGGAAACTTCGTGTCGGGACGTGCCGCAGACCCACTTCGAAATGCTACTACTTAACTCGCGCTAGGAGCCCTCTCTCTTCCTCTTCTCTCGACACAACCATCACCGCCTATACCTACGAAGTATATCCTCATACTTCATTTCCACACGCGATCGTGCATCTCCAGCACATTAGCAGATTCTCTACCACCTAGCGCACTTCTTCTGCACTCAACAGTGAGTCAAGACCGCGAGACACTACAAGCAGCACACTGATCAGTCTCACAGTATACTCACCTTGCAAATACGTATACTCCATCCGCCTGCAAGTATCACTTCCAAGCTCCTTGCAGCCACCCATGTGAGTGCACTCAGTCAACCACAATTAGCTGCGAAGGCCACCAACATCCTAAATACGTCCATCTGTACTAACCACATATTCAAGGGTGACTAATACCTAGCACCATATCTCCATTTCAAGGCCGCACTTTGCTCGCGTCGTCTATAGCACTTAATACCAACTCTTCAAGCATCCATCACCCATCAACAAACACGGGGTGAACAGTCCGCAATTATCCTGCGGCGTTGTCGCCGCCGCCGTTGCCACCGGCGAGAAGGCCATCTACACCTACAGCAGGCTGCAGAAGAAAGCCCGGCGGAGATGAAGCGGTCGGGGCGCTGGACCCCTACGGTGAGTACCACACCGGGGAAAGCTATAGAGCGCACTGCAGCCTAAGCAACGGAGAGGAGATGGATCAGATAGATGTGGATGGGGTCTAAATAGTGTAAACAGACCATACAGGAGAAGGAATTAACGCAATACGATATGCTACGACTACGAGCGGAGATGGACAAGATCGACGTGGGCGGTGTTTGAGAAGGTGTAAATAGACTACACGCCAGAAGGAATGAATGTAATACGATATGCTGATATTATCCAAGCACACTCTAGCTCCTCTACAGCAGCTCCTTGTTACCTCCTGCTGTTCCATCTCTTTTTGAACCATGTCCTCCGGGACACTAAGCACCACTCCCAATTCCCAAGCATAGCTAGATGCTCCATGGATGAAGTGCACAAATACGCCTCTTTTCGCTTGTTGCGTGACTCCTCCCTTGGGACTGCTGTTCATTCCAAGTCTCGAATCTCTCAGGACGAGCAAGGAATACTAGTATCCGAGCGGTCGTGTGGAATATCGATAGGCCTTGAGACTGGGATATCGCACGACATTCTGCTTCCGCTGAACACAGAGGGAGATTGTATTGAGAGGGTCTGTCTGGCATATACCATTGTTCCAATTTCAGGTGTTTTCTATCTCTTTCATCGCCCGAATTCCCTTTAGATTTGATCTGCGAAATGGTCCATTGCTTCGTAGAAGTCGAAATCCGCGTAGGACGGCTCCTGTGTAGCATTATCTCACCGAGTACGAGCGCCTTTCCTCCTAGTCCTTTCTCTACCCGCTCGGAGCTCGGAGCTCGCTGCTAACTCTCGTGCCGATTTCCGAGGTCTCTCGCGCGAGTAGCAAGATATGGCAAATAATGCGTCGGCGCGCTGTGTTGTAGGTCTGCACTCTCTCTTGCTGTACGGCGGCAAATACTCCCAGTTCGCAACCGAATTTCCTCTGTGAAAGGAGGATCCGGTCACTTCTGAATCTGATGAGCCAGCATGGAGATGCGACGTAGATGTTCCTCCCTGTATATTTCCACCGTATTCTAGGCGTCGCGCTGGTGTTTCTGTATTGGGCTGCTCGCCGTCGTCGTCAGGAGTCGCGTATCGAATGCGGTCCTAGGGACATGGATTCGGACGTGGGCGGCTTGGATTCGTAGGTGGTGATCCCGAGGCTTCGATCAAGGGGAGACGAAAGGCTACTATCAGAATGTTGGCGCTTATGTGGCGAGATGAGTCGTGCGTTGGAGTAGAAGAACACTGTCAGCACATGAATGAGCCTCCGCCCGCTGGCAGCACTGAGCAGGAGGTGGCGCTTCTCATACTCGTCCTCCCTAAAGTCCCAGACTCCCAGCAGGTCAGCATGGCCCATCAACAGACCAATAGCCTCAAATACCTTCTACTGCACCTCATAAGCGTCATAGCACACCGCAACAAGGCCCGCAATAGCGTACTGCACTTCACAAGTCTCATTCCCAGGTCTTGGCGTAAACAAGTAAACAGACCCCTCCCTCGCCGCGCTCTCCGCTCGGCAGCATCTCGGACGGGCAGCATTAAAGCTATATAAGTAATTATTTTACAAACCCTCTCGCCGCCAACCAGGTAAGGGCGCGGTTTTCCTCTTTCTCTTTTCGTATTTCTTTACTCTCCTCTGTTTTTCAAAAGCAAAATGGGTTTCCCTGTTTTCTTTTCCTCCCACTTGGGGGGTTTCTTTTGCTCCGTGGATGGAATTGATCGCAATTGATTTCTTTTTGATTCGACGCGTTAGTGATGGGGTGTCGGTGGATGTTTGTAAATTGTGGTGGATGGCGCAACGGGTTTCGAATGCGGTTCGAGCCGGCAATAAGGCTTGCTCTGTGTGTGACGCGTCGTACTTTTTCCTACGCCAATTTAGTATGCAGCAATGCGTACGGACATTTTTTTGTCTACATTAGGAGGCGATGATGGATATTGCAAGCTACGCGTGCGCACAGGTCTATGGTTCGACACTTCGCTGTTTGCAGCTCAAGGGATCGAAACACGCCATGTTTCTCAGAATGAGACTGCAATTGGGCCATGCGGATGTTTTAATTTCACCAAGAGCGATACCTGAGAATGCACACGAAAAGATGAATGGGATCAATATTTTGGGGCCAAGGTGAGCAGTTGGCTTCGTTTTGCAACTATGCCTCAACAGTGGGACTCACAGCGTGCGGCACCGCACGCTAGGAGTCCACGAACCATTTGATCAACTCGGTGAAGCTATTGCTGTGAAGTGCCGTACCTGTAGCCGACTTCATTTCCTCGCTCGTTCCGCGCCAATTTCAATGCGGGCGCGTAGCTATCCACCTTCTGACATTCGTCTGTAAGTTGTAACGCCGACTATCTTCACGCACAAGCAAATCTCGTTACCAGGACTTGTAAAAACGCACGCTTGTAGATACAAGTGAGACAGATCTGTTCCGTACCCTGAGTAGTCAGGAAGCCGGCATGTATTCAAGCTGTGTCTTATTCCTCCTGGCCTGGACGAATCGTGCAATGGGCACGGTGGGTAGCTGAGTAGCTCAGAGGCTCTCGAATTAATTTGAAGGATATCCATGTCTGATCCATTGCGTATCCTGACTCTGCACATGTCTACAAGTACGACCGCTTGCGGCTTGAAGTAGACACTCAAGAGCAGAGGATCGCCGTCTTGCAGAGACACAAGCTTTGTCTTCGACACTGGCGTAACGCTTTCGTGCTGGTGCGATCTTCTTTGCGATCAAAGTTTCCGCGCGTTCAGTATTCCAATCTCTCATCGGCCGGCATGTCCGCTCACTCTTGCTCCCTCCCACGCCTGATGTTTTACGGATCCGTTCTCCCAGAGAGTCTCCCTTCTTCGCCAACTGCACCTTGGGTCTCTCGACGTGGTCATGAAAAATTACGCGTTTCACACGCTCTTCGAGGCTGCTGGGCTCGATATCATGTGGACTTGCTTCATTGAAGCGATGCGCTCGGCGGGAATGGGCTGGAGAAACTGAAAATCGCCGGCGCGATTTGGCGTGGCGAAGTCGAATGATTCAGTCGCGTAGAACATGGAGATAGCTGCGCATGTCAGCCCCTCGTACGTTTGATACCCTTTCGGACCCTTCCTCACCTCAACTTACACTCCCGGTAGATCTGCTTGCAGCTAAAGAGGATTTCTAAACCCCTGAAGGGGTTATTGTTCTTCTTCGTTCGCGTACTGTTTTTGAAGAATTGTGGGTGGAAAATTGTTGGTGGGAAAGAGTTGGTTGCGTATGGATGAAGTCGAGCCCGGGGAGCGAAAGATCAGTTTGGGTGGCGAAGGTGATCCGTGCGCTGAACTGAGGTTTGATGCACCGGCATGACGCGACAATACTTCCAGGTCTGGTCGCGAGTCGTGGCATATGTTGATGATCGTGACGGAGACCATGTCTAGAAGACGGCTCCTATCTCCTGTGACTTGATCTCTTCGACCTGTGGCCAGAGAGTTCGGTAGGACATGCTGGCCATGTCCAACGGGCAGCAGGACTACTGAGCCATGATGCTCGATTTGATTGTCGTCTGTGCCACTGCTATGTCTCCATTGAGGATGAACGGCGAGCGCCACAATGGACCCAACTTAATAATGGTGACAGAGCATAATAGTAGCTGTGCTGAGCATGTAACAATGACGGGTTGCTGCCTAGGAGTATTCTTGAACGCCATTAAACAAGGAAATGCCTGGACGGAGCGTGGGGATCCTTGAGACTTTTCGTTGAGACGAGGATCATGAGCATGTGTCGCAAGACATGTGAAGTCCATTCCAAAGCAATCGTCCTAATTTTCCCCTAGCTAATCTGTGGCGTCCCTGATAAACGTAAACCACTGTCTGGAATCAAATCATTGGACCACTCTATCCACCCGAGTCCGCCAATCTAAGTGAGATGTCTCGGCTTGAAAGCTTTCATTGCCGCTGACTAGATGAGATCTGCCAGACGATCTAGCGTCATGAGAGCGTACGCCGCAGAGAGGCTAATACCCTTCACGGTCGCTCCCCAGGATGCGCGGCGAACCATTCTTGGCAAGCCTTGCACTGATCGAAGTCGCAGATGACAGCTTCTCGCAGACCCCTGGAGTCCTTGCGACCGTTCTTTGATCCAAGCTGCGTGTCGTCGAACAGCACCTGAGCCGGCTTGATGCCAGGAACATTGGTGTTGTGAGGAGCCTTCGGACTGAACTCACGTCCAAGGAAGGTGAGCTGCGTATCCCGTGCAGCGTGCACGAATGGACGTCCGTGGTTCTCTCCTGCTAGCCTGTACGGCGAAGCTCCGATGTCGATGTTGGAATTATTTGCTGCATCGAGAGCAGCTCGGCGAACAGTGTCCGAGGTGGCGTCTCCGTGGGGAGCGCTCTTGCAGTACGAGCACACTGCTTCATGACAGAGCATCATGTCCGCGGTGAGCTTGTTCTCGCCGTACTGAACCACGAGTCTGATGACTCCGCCGCCGTACTGCTTTAAACGAGTCTTCTCGCCGACAATGCCAACGGATGTGTCCTGACGCCAGACTGGATTGATCGCTCCAGTGTCGACCTCCCATGAATGTATCATGACGAGAGATGGTGAGTTCTGCAGAGACCAGTCGATGCAAAGGCCGCAACGGTATGTCTCGCAGACGCTTGCTTCGCGGAATCCGACTTGGCCTGACCGTCCATGCACGGTCAGCTGATGATCGTCGAAGACAATTTCCATCTCGTCGGTTTCATGAGTCGGAGCTTTCCAGGCTCCTCGTGGGAAGAAGACGTGGAAGTCGTCTTGTTGCTTCGTGTCACGCAGGAGATGGACAAAAGGCTTGCCTCGATACTCGCTGTCTTCTTTGTCGGCCAGAGATGGATTGTTCTCAGACTGACGAGCTCGCTTTACACGATCGGCGCCTTGGTCTGAGATATCTGAGCAGCAGAATGAGCAGAAGCTTCCTGGGCAGATCATGACGTGGAAAGTCTGGTCCGTGGTGGACCGGATCCGTCGCGCTGCACCGCCGAAAGCGTACATTGCGCTGTCTTGATCGACTGCTCCAACACTCCCGTTGATATCCCACACGCCACCCTGTGGTCCTTCCGTGACCTCGGAGCGATGGATCATCCGCAGGGGTTGGCATTCATCCTTCTCCATCACCTCAACCATGGGCTGCGGTGCTCGCTGAGTCTGCTGAGAGCCCAGTACACGCTTACCGCCAGTTGAAGGGCGTACGATGTTGAGAGGTCTATCCTCTCCTCCCGCGGACAATTCTCGCCGCGGCAAGACAGTGTCTTCATCGATGTCCTCTTCTGCTACGTCCTCGGCTTCTCCATTCTCAGCTTCTCTTCCAGTGCCAGTCGTAGGATTTTCAGCACCACCTGCAGTCGCTGCACGGCTGAAATGTGACGCGTTGATGGAGGTGATATTTGATGAAAAAGCGGGAGCATTTCCGGCATTGGCGGCGGGCTGGCGAGGGAGAAGTGGGATCGCCTGGTTGGGGCGACCAGTGAGGAAGTTCTGCCCTCCTGTCAGGGCAGCGACAGTGATGATCGCCTGGCGGACTCGGACAACCCGCTGCTGCTGCGCAGGAGAGAGCGGAGCTCCTCGCGTGTCGATGACTTGCCACATCTTCGATCTGCCCTTGGCGAAACGCTGTGTATACTGTGAGAAGATCAGCTGCTGTACGGTGTGTTATGGAAGTGCAATGGCTCAATCTTACCTCGTCGCGTATAACGGCCACCGCATATCTTCGATTGGCGCCGAGTGTGAACATGCGGCCGAAGATGTCGTGAATTTGCTCCCAGGAGAGATCGTACTCGGTTGCCATGAGAAAGATGGCGGTGCGTTCGTCTTCCGACCAGATCGCCATGGTGCTGGTAGTGGCTCACAGATTGGAAGTGTTGGTGTTGTTATTGGCGCGCGGATTGTTGAACTTGGTAGCAGATTGGAAGTGTTGGTGCAGGTTAGGGCTCACAGATTGGAAGTGTTGGTGGAAAAGAACGAGATGCTGGGAGAAGATGCAGTTTTGTGCAGTGTATGTGTTGTGGGCTTCGGCGGGTGAAGAGCAAGTTTGAACTTCACGAGCGGGAAGCGAGCCAAGCCGCGCTAGCCTGTTTGGGAACAGCACCTTTCGCGGATTACGGAAGCTCGTATTTCGACAAAGTATGAGCGCAATGGGAGTATACACAATCGGACTCAAAATTTCATAGATCTGTGGAAAGGCGAGCTGCAGAGCTCTGAGAACCTGATATATGAGTCTCGCTAAACAAGTCCTTCCAGCAAACAAGTCATGGATTGTCTCGACGTTTGATCTAGTTCATAATCAATGTTGACAAAGGCTCAATAGCAATCGTAGAGAGGAGAGACATCCGAGAGAACTTGATCCGACCTCAGCGGTGTCGGATGCGTGATTCAAAGCACCGCTCTGGGTGGTAGACGGTCTACAAATCAGGAAAAGTGGAATTGGATGGAAAATTGGGAACATGAGACCGGTATTATTGGTGTAGCTCTTGATAGCTTGTCGTGTCCATCGTCCCTCACTCGAAGGCCTATCATTCCAGTGTCCTATCTCCACAAACAACTAGTTCTTCTAGTGTGCCCCGATCTCGCTGCCTATTCGCGACTCACCACAACCTGGTGATCTAAGCCTCAGCAATCATGTCATCCTCCCCTCCATCAGGCTCTCCGCCGTCCTTGCCTTTCTGCCCCTAGAGGTCGCTTCGAGCGTCCGCGATCTCGGCGTCCAGAGCCGCATCCTCTTGCTGCTCCCAATCCAAGCAAACATCGCACAGCGCCCGATCGCAGATGAGAGTGCGGCGCAAGCCACACTCACCTCCGAACGGTTGCTGCTGGCGGTTGTCGAAGACGATGTTTGCTCGGAGGGTGTCCTCTGGGACCGCAGTTGGAGTGCCACCCGGCTTGAACCAGCGGGTGTACTCCTCATCCGTCTGGGTATCCCGCCCGCCGTGGATGAATGGCAGCCCCTGGTACGGCGAGGCATCGATATTGATGTTGCGGTTGTTCTCCGCAGCGCGTGCAGCGTCAAGCTTCGCCTGCTGGTCTTCGTTTGCCGGGCCGCCGCAGTAGGTGCATGTATCTTTCCAGCAGGTCATGATGTCGAAGTGGTTCTGGAAAAAGACGCGCTGGACCGGACCACCACAGCGGTAGAGACGCGTGCCTTGAGCAATCGCGCCAACACCCTGCAGTGGGTTGTAGTGAGGAATCTGGCCGGAGTGCCAGATCTCGCAGCTGTGGATCATGCTCAGCGGCCGAGTCTGCTGCAGTGGCTGATAGCTGGGGTGGTGTCCTGTCATATATGTATTAGCTTTTGCGTTGTGTATAGGCTTGAGCTTCTCAGTATAGATAGCGGTCTTAGCAGCGGTTGCAGCAAGGTACTTAAATGCACCGGCGGCATGCGGGAACAATTGTGCTGTGCAAACATCTCCTGCCGGCAAACATGAAGAGACCAAGGAAACACACGTCTGGAACATACCTTGCTCATTCTCATTGTCCGACTCGCTCGATTCAGAAGGGGTAACAGGGACCACAGGGGCACCGACAGAGGTGGAAGTAGACGTAGTAGGGGCCGTAGCTGGCGGTTGCGGATTGGCAGGCGCTGGAACAAGTGCTGGCGGAGCAGCTGGTGCTGTAGCGGCCGGTAGAGCAGTCGAGCCTTGCGTCTGTCGGACCTGGACTCGGGCGGTGATGATGTCGTTGCGAACTTGCGCCCTCTCGGCCTGTTGCGCGGCGTTGTACGAGGGGCGGTCGATGTAGTCCCGCCAGCGTGCGGCACGAGTTGGGTGGTTGCGCGTGTTCCACTCGTCTCCGAGACGGCGGCCAGCTGGAGTTCCATTCGGCCAGTTGGCGGCGCAGAGGTGACGGAAGACGTTCTCCATTTCGGCGTTGCTGAGGTTGAACTCTCCGTATCCGATGTGAAGAACGTGGCGCTCGTAGTCTGACCAGCGGTGCGGCGCCATGTTGTTGGCTCGAGAGGATGCGTCTGGGGGATGTGAAGATCGATGGATTGGAAGTTTGATCACGCGCAGTCGAGTTGAGGAAATCGAGTTGAGGAAATCGAGTTGAGGAGAGCTTGCTGCTTGCTGGGCTCGTTCTTGGGCCGGTGTGTGAATTTGAGCTGGTTGGAAGTTTGGTCAAGCGCGGTTGAGTTGAGTTGAGAGAAACTTGGTGGACTTGTTCGCTTTTATAATGATGTGCGCGGCGACGTGGGCCGTGCCGTGACTCCCGTCGATGCTGCGTTGCTAAATTCACGCAGAAACAGTGAATTGTTTGACTGACTATTGAAGCGTCGCTGCTGCATTCCCAAATTTGCACTCCCAGCATCTCCAAACAGGAAACTTCACTTACCATAAGTCACGGCCGCCAACGTGACTTCGCTGACTCTTCCCTAACAATGGCCTAGGAATGAAACACATCAACCGAATGTCCATCAAGAGTCCGTCTGTCGATCTCTGCAGCCCCAGAGTCTCGATAAGAGAGCCAAAAACTGACGGGAGAGAGGAACAAAGAGCTACGCGCAGCACAGTAGCATTGTCCTGCGGTGAAAGCCACACAAACATATTGTACTTGCGAGTCACATAAGTACCGACCATAGCATTAATGAATGGGGACCATCATCGAGAGACGCAGTACTACCTTCCCAGTACATTCGACCATCGGCAGACCCTCAACAGCAATCACGAACACGCTCTCCAAGAAAGACATTGCAAAGCACGCTCACCACTCGACGCATAGCGATCATGGGTCTATTGCACCATCACAAGGGCGGAGATCACGATTCTGGCGAAAGCGAAAACTCCACCACAGACATTCCTCTGCCATTGTCAACCAAGTCATCGGACATCAACCCGACCAAAGACCCCACGGCGCCCACGACCGTAAGTCAGCACACCAAGTCCGCGAAAATCACATCACAGGTGACCACAGAATCCACCACCGAGGAGGGTTCATCTGGCACTACTAGTCGCACAAGCATATTCGATTCCAGAGGACCTCAATCCGTGACTTCGACATCAGATCCTACTCCAACGACGACAGTGAAAGAGAACGATAACGGCAGCAACGGCAGCGGCCTCGCAAAGCTCACCAACGTCGTCAAGGGAACCAAGCTGACAGGACTGATTTCGTCGGAAAGCACAACGGCACCGACTAGCTTGATAACTTCAACTACGCCTGCTGGCTTGGATCCGACTTCTAAGAGCGCGACAACGTCGGCGGGCTGTTCCCCTGCTCCACCATACCCTTACCCCGGCAGTACCGCGACTGCAATGTCACATGCATCGAACTGCGCTACGCAGATGACAATCGATCACCAAACTGCCAAAATCCACGCAATGACAGGTACAATCGTGGCACTATCCCTGGTGATTGTACTGGGGCCTTTGATCGCGTGGGAATTCTGGAAGAAGCTCAAGCGACCGAGAACGCAAGGGCAATCTGAGGCCATGCTCAACGGGAGTCGAAAAGCTGACATCGCAAGGCCACGACCAGCGTTCTTCCGGAACAGCACATTTGATAGAACGCAACAGAATGGAAGAAGCAAGGAGCTCCGGGCGCAAGATCGAATATCGACGTTGGTAGAAATGGAAATGTCGGAAATCTATCCCAGACGCCGACCGCCTCCTCCACCTCCACCTCCGACGGCACCACAAGCAGATCCTCTGCCGCATGGCATGCCAGTATCTTCTCCACAAGCGGATCTTGCGACAAATGCTAGAGCTTCGTCGGCCGCAAATGCGATTGCGAAGTACATCAGGGGTGGCGGCAGACCAGCAAGCTCAGTCTACTCCCGTCGCACGAACTCGTGAGTCGCTCGGATTTCTGGGCTTTGGAAGTCATCGACTTTATGATTCAAACGGGAAGCAGGACTTCTAGGAAGATCGTCGGTAGGTATGTGATATGAGACGCAAATCAATCTCATTTTTCAATATAGGATCCTACTTTTGTTGTCTTCTCTTCTAGCTCGCTGACAACGAATCAGGCCTTCGAGCTAAAAGAACCGCTTGATAGGCCTTCTAGTGGCCTTCTAGTGCACTCTTGAGCGATTCTGGTCGGATCTCGGAGTCCTGCGTAAATGTTCAACTTCGTAAGTATCCGCACTGTCACCGGATGGTCAAAGAAAAGGCTTTCGTCTACACAAGCCCGGTGTTCTAGGTGAGGTAAAATCAAGCATATCGGAACTCACGGCCCGCTGCAACGGTGTGAATCCTACAGCTAAGCTTGATCTAACTTCAGTCGAAGACTCGTAGTGGCCACACTTTAGGTGGGAGAAATATTGATGATAGGGAATGATAAATTACCGGCAGTTCTTAGCAGACATGTCACCTTCGATTCAGCATGTTCCAGACTCTGTTCTTTGAGATGGTTGACTGAGAATGCGGCTCGCTACATAAGCCGGGATGTACGGACAAAGCCATTGTGTTGCACACTTTTCACTCTTTGTTCCATTCCTCGAACATGCTCTGGCGGCAGGGTAGACAAGTCAATCCATAGCGCCTGAGAGGGTCACACAAAACCGCATGAAGACCTTGTACATCCACGACGGTCCACGATCCACCTTAGTAGTAGAACCGAAGACTTATTGCGCTGTGCCGAGGAGCTACAACTGGAGACTTCCGCCTTGGAATCAAGGACCACGGACCATGCGATGTACTTCAAGTAAAATTCAAAACTGTAGACTGCACTCTAAAGAAAACATTAAAACCCTTCCGTAGAGGGATGGATTCGGGTGTCATTCCAAAAGGCTCAATTTCAAATGCTTGCAATCCGACTTCCAAATACATCAAGGAAGAAGCAATTCTTGCGGCAGTGTGCTGTATTAATCCTCCCTCTGGTAAATATTCAACTAAAGAGAACTTGCTTCGACGGTCTTTCTCAATCTGATGCAACGTTAGCCTACTCCAGAGACCATGATCTACTCGCTCTCACCTTCTCAATTCTCAATAAACAGCATCCCCAACTCCACCTGTCGAGTCCGCAAATTACCCCTCTCGGGTAGAAGGTACTGTTTCCGAATTTCGGACTCCTCCAACCGCAGTCGCGCCTCCACATCCTCCTCCACGTTGGCCTCAATCTCTATCTCCATGTCGTAAATGCTCTCTGCGATGGCGTCGTACTCCATGAAGCTGGAGGGTCGATCGCCGCGCAGGAAGGCCGCGGAGTTCGCCTTGGCGGATTCATGCAACGATTTCTGTTCCCGAGTAGTGCGGGCCATGTCGTTATTGTCGCGGCGCTTCTTCTCCTCCAGCGAGACGGATCCGGTGCGTACGCCGCCGCTGAGGAGCTGTCTGTTCCAGCGGTGCTGAATGTCTGCTTCGGTCTGGGGGGTCTCGTCCAGGGCAAGGTCAAACATGGGGCAAGAAATGTCCATCCTCGCAGTGGAGCGGCTGGGCATCGCTTTTTTCTCGTTCTTGAGCATTCGACGTTCTCTTCCTCTCGCGGCCGTGTCTTCTTCGACTTCGATGATGCTGGCTTTCTGGCCTGGCTTGGGCATCGTTCTGCGGCGTTTTTCGAAGTCCTGCTTCCGCTTCGTCTCCTGTGCCATCGCAGTAGCGATGCACAGCTCCTTCTGGCGTTCCATTCTGCGGAACATCTTTTCTGACTTCTTGCGAGAATACTCACGCCCTGCACGGACGACTCGGGCAGCCTTCGCCCGCTCCGCCTTGAGCCTCTCCTTGTTATCCCAGTTGCGAGCATGAAGGGCCTCCCAGGTCTCGGGGAGTGCCTTGGGCGGCGTGTGCGTTTGCGTTCTTGCATGGCCGCTTCCAAACCTCAATTCCACAAGGAGTGTCTCGCAAGCAGGCTTCAAGATCTGGAAGAGCAGGGTATGGAATTGCTTTAGATCTTCGGATGGCGCCTTGTCCGGATGGATGCGGAGAGCCAGAGAGCGGAAGGCGGTGTAGATCTCGGTCTCGGTCGCTGCCCAGTTGATGCCGAGGACATCTGCCGGGTCGTCTTGATCCAGCTGGATGTAGAGGTCGGCAAGTGGGGTCCTGGAGTAATCGGTGCGAGGATCGACGTCCTTGCTCGGAGCGTCCGCGGAAGGCTTTGAACTCATGCTGGTAGGCTTGGGGTCTCGCTCCGAGATGGCGACGTGCCGAGAAGAGATGTTGTTGGAAGCCACGTACTTTGATGTAATTGTGTTGTACCTTTGGATCTTGAGGAGGCTGGGAAGAGCAAGTGATTGGAGTGAAGCGGGCAAGTAACTCTCAAGTGGGTGATGTTCCAGAGAAGCGATTCAAGTGAATCTGATAGATGATGTCACTTTGGTAGATGTTGGCTGACGTGATGCACCTCGGAGGTCTGTGATGATGAGAGGAGGCAGGGAAGAGGTGGGTGGTATATATACATTTGCAGGTGTTGTGGAGGGGTGAGGACGATGTCTGTCCTCAGCTTGCCCTCAGCTTGCCCTCAGCCTGCCCTCAGCTTGTCCTCAGCTGCATACTGTCGCTGTCGTGTCCTCAGGCCCGCTCTGCGCACGGAATGAACACGCATTCTGTCGACGTGGACAGCCCGAAAAATGCCTGATGGAATGTAGACGCACGGGAGGTGCCTCAGGTTTGCACCTGTACCAAGGTACGACGAGGACGAAGCCGCCAAAGTTGGGGTAGGTCATCAAATATTGAAGTCTCTCCCATCAAATTTCTATTAGCGGGAATTTCCCGAGCATTTGAGGAGGTAGAAGTGTGTATGGCTTCACATATGCTCTCTGACGGACGTATTGCCTTCTGTAGAATGTCACGATCGTGCTTCTCGAGTACGATACGTCCTCGTACGGCTCGGCGTGCGTCCTGTGGCGCTGCTCGCGAGCTTGCGAATCGGTGTCTGGCATTTCCAAGCTCATCGAATACGATTGATCTCCGTACAGAAATGGAAAGGGTCTCGAAAAGACGAAAGATCTTTACTCTCTGCTTGAACCGAAGTCGAGGACTGTAAGCGTAGGAGGCCTATAATCCGATCTGTACTGCTCCGTTATTACGACAGGGGAATACGCTAGGAGAATAGGACGGTCACTGACGCTTGTCCGTATGGGTACTCTCGTACTCAATGCTGCACTTCTAGGAATGAATCTCCTAGGCTGTCGGGGGGGAAAGCAGACCTTTTGGTTTTCTGTAGTAAGAGACCGAGATTTTGAGAATTTCTACAGGTAATAGACGGGGCTCTGACAGGTGAAATCTACGGATCAGATAGAGTGAGGGCATTAGGAGGAAGTCACGAACCAGCACAATAGGGAAGGAACGAGGGGAGGACGGTGGGTCGCAGGCTTGGCATTGGAATATAAAACTTGGGGCGAAACACTTCTCACTTCCTTCCTCTCTTCGGCAACTCTCGACATGGCGAACCGTACGTATACAACTGAGAAGCTCTCGAGTGGAATAGAGACTGACAATATCGCAGAGAACAACACCACGAACAATTTCTTCGCCAATTTGGCTTTCCGCCCTGGGCCTGGCCAGCCTAACAACAATCTCACCGCCGCCGCCGCCACCACCACCACCACCAACACCATGACGCTGGCGTTTCGGCCGCGGGTCGGGGCTGGCAACCCCTTCACCACCACCACCACCACCACCACCACCACCACCACCATCCCTGCCGCTGGAGGGGATGCCGGCGCCTCGGCCGGCGAGGAAGACGAGGAGATGAGGAGGGAGAGGGAGAGGGAGGTGGAGGAGGAGAACGGGGGCGGAGGGGAGCAAGAGGGGGAGTTTGAGGAGATGTTGGCTCGCCTGGACAGGGAGTTGGAGGAGGAGAGGGTGGGGCAGAGGGAGGTGGCAAGGGTGGAGACGCCGTGGGTGTGGGGGGAGGTGCGTGGAAACACCACCTTCCGCCCCACCCCGTCTCGCGCGGAGAGGAGGGAGAGGGAGCAGGAGGAGCTGGCGGGTGGCCGGGCTGCGCGGCGCGCCTGGTACGCCTCGCTCTCGTTCGCAGAGCGACGAGAGCGGCAGCAGCAGCACCGCCGCCGCAAGGCCATCTCGCGGTGGGGTGCAGCGAGCGGATAGCTTTTCGCGTTTCTTTTTTTTTTTTCTCTTTTTCTTCAATTTCACACCGGCGGATCGCCACCGCCGATTGGAGCATGCTCTCGTTTACCTTCTCCTTTGACGAATTTTCATGGCCGCGTACTCTTCAAACATCGCCTTAGCATGCTGCTCTTGGGCTTGAGCCTCGCCGTTGAGAGGCGAATACTTCCATCCTCGGCTTTTCCGGCACCAGGCAAGCGTTGGCAAAGGAGAGGGCACACCGAATCTTTGAACAGCTAACACGTCTTTTTGATCTAGTATATCGTCCCTCTTCCGGTCTCTTTCTCGACACACTACTCACCAAATTTCCTCTCGTCCATCCGTCACGATACGTTCATCAACGCGCGCACACACACACTCGCTCAAACCCCTTTCGCAGTCGATTCAGCAAGTATGAAAGACCCACACTACCGCAGCAACCTGCTGCTCGAAGAGCAGAAAAATTAACTCCTGTCTTCTTGCTTGGAATCTTCAACCTCGAGTCGTACATCGAAACCCAGAGCCATTATCCAATAATGGGGTCAACAACGCCGCAAACGGCGCGATGCAAGCAGAAGCACATCAGGATTGGAAGAGAGAAGAATGGGCGAACGGCTACACATACGACGAGGAAAGCGGCGGGTGGAAGAGGAGTCAGGAGACTCAGATTGCGTATCCAGAAGACACGAAACACCCGCTACAGGATTCTAGTGCGCAGCAAGGGGAGAATCTAAGTTCTTCCCGACGAAGACGGAGACACAGAGGCCGAGAAGTACTGCACCCAGGTACTGCCATACTGACGTCTCCCCTCATGCTAGGCTCACCGTAGTGCCCACGGAGAGCATGACCGTGGAGGAGCTTCGCAAGATGAATCGCCTGCGCACCGCTAGTATCAGCCCTTCGCCTCATGCCCAGCATCCGATCGGCTGGATCTTCTGTGGACTGCAACTCGCTTCGGCACTGCCGTAGGTGAATCGCCACGGGTTGCAGCAGTTTTTGCAAGAGTCGCTCCACCGTGGTCGCCAGCAACAAGCTCACCAGAGCATCGCCACCAACTCGCCCGGCATCATCAGCGCTCTTGCCACTCATACATCGCCAGCGCTGCCGCTCACTCCTGTTGGCACATTACCCACTCCCAGCTCTCGCTTTGTTCCATGCTGCGATAAGAAGAGTCAAGACGTATGGATCATTAAGCACTCAAGCGCCGGCATGGAGTCGCTGCGAAATTTCAACTAGGGTCTCTTGGTCTTGCTCGAGCATAGCAATCGGAAAGCCCAGAGCCTAAGTCGAGGGAGACGGAAAAGCTCCATCCCTACATTGAGACTGGGACATGGTACAAGCAGCATTTGCAGACATGCTGGAGAGGGTAGGACAAGATGGCGGCGATAGTATGGGCGACAACACGCTATTCATGCGCGGAACCGAGTCCGGCTCAGTGGTGGATACTATGTCAATGAGGACACATTTCCAGATTACGTGGAACGCAATACCAACTCAGGGCGAGTTGACGGCTTATCCGCCTATGAAGCTTCTCCCTGCCGCGAGTAGAAGCCCCAGGCTACTCGCAGCCAAGATCATTGCAACTCGTGTAATGGAAAGTATGGATTGATCCACAGACAGACGAGGTGATCTCGAACTCCTCCTCGCAGAGTGTCTCCGAGTCTCCATTGTTTAACAACTTCATCAACAGCGAACTGGAAAAGGCCGCGAAAGTACACAGGAGCCGCACCACCTATACGAACATGAAAACCGCGATTCTCCTCTGAGCCCGACTACGGCACCTGCACCTGCTTCAAAACCCGCACTCACCGAGCGCTAGAGCCTGTCAGGCCCGCTGGACGACACTCCCACTCCAGCGATTTCTTGCGCTCCTACTACAGCTCCGACTCATAAGCTTCAGCAAGCCCTCCGAGGAATCGTCCACCAACGGTATGGCAGGAGGAAGAAAGAAGCAAACCCAAGTCAACATACGTACCACTCATACGCTTTCGGTATTACGAGTTGCAGAAGAGAGAAAGGCGGTTGAATTTGAGTAGAGCAAGAAGAAAGAGCAAGGCGGGATGCATAAGTTTAAGTTACGGGGGACTCGGTGGGCAAACAGAAATGTCAGCGTAAATGAGTAAATCGCTATGTCAAGATCGCTGTCGAAGTAGAAGACACACTGAGCATGGCTTAATGTACCAGTAGATACCAGCTAGGTCAGTGGGTATTAGCTTTCTACAAGCAACCTTTGATCCAACTTCGGGAATATGTTACTGTCTAAACGTATGTATCACAATACAGGAAAAGTTTTCAAAAAGCCAGTCTTAGATGACCACACATACAAGGCCTTGATATACTTCTGCGGATGTCCCCTTTCAACGGTTCAGCCATTACTCTTTGTTGTTCCGATGATCGCGTTGTGGGTATTTTCAGAAAGCATTAGAAAAGTTAAGCAGTTGAAAAGCTCGTCGCCTTACGCCTCTTCATGTGTACTGACTGACAGGTCGCCTGTCCGTTCTCATTCCGACACACAAGCTATAACATCGATGGCGAGGTTCCTCTCAAATGTCCTTTTGGCTTCAGCTTCATCATCTCCCGCTCTGAGACCATCATCACCTTGCTATGTCGTCGGCGTCAAGCCTTTCGCGCAACCGTTGAATATCTTTCATTATCATTGTTTGAGAGAGGGGCGCGAGATCTGACCCGCCAGGAGCGTACTCGAAAGCGTCCATTACCCAAGGTAGAACAGGAATTCTCCCACTTCGCTCACGACGAGAGCCATCGTCAGAAGTCGTCGATGCAGTTTGAAGAGAGGATCGCGGCGAGTGTTTGGAATACGTTCGACTCTGATGCAAAAGGTGTAATGAAAAAAAATGAACGAGAGCTGTGGTGCCAAAAAAACAAAACAAAAAAAAAACGTTTTCGAAAGCGCTTACACCAACTCGCCACCAGGACAGAACTTTCGAGATCTATACCCTACTGACACTCTCCACTCCACACCCATAGAAGGTAATCCAAAAAGTATTTGAGGAGTAAGGCCCAATAAAGGGAACCCCTCGTTGCCAGTTCGGAGAGTACGCCCAATAAAGGGGACAACTCCAGCCACTGCCTGTGAGCCCACTGCCTGTGAGGCCACTGCCTGTGAGCGCACTAGCGAGTTCACCATTGGCCTACACCAGATGGCCGGGCCTCGCTCCGCCCGAGAAAACATGATAATTCTACACTATATATAACTTGGGCGGTTGTTGCCGAGGAGTGAGCTTTGACCTTTTTGACTCGCCATACAATGGATGGGCTTGGCTCTTACGTGTGAGAGTTCGAGTTATGGATCGAAGGGGTTGGAGATTTCTACTGTAAGGGGGGGTTTTGGGAAATTGGTTGAGGCTTCGTTCTTGTACTGCGGGAAGTATTATGTCCGAGGTTCTCACTCAGCGCAATTACGCGTTGCCTCTCTGTGCCGCACCCTACAATGGCCCAAATCGCCTCCTATTGACTACAAAGCCTAGCCAGAATTCATTACCCGCCGATGACTCCATCCTCTAATTCCAACCCGGTTCTTATGTCAGCTTTTCCCTATGACCTTGCGCAAACTCATGTACCCTTGCGGCACCGACTTCCGGCTCCCATGTTGACCCGCGGCGTGAGCTGCTTGACCTTTCTGGTCGCAGACTGCCTGCGAATATTGGCTACATCTCTACGCAACCAGCTAGAGTCTGCCTCCTATGACTTTCCCTCTACTGTCTCCTTGCTGGACACCGCCTGTCGAGCCCCCGACTGAGGATCGTGGCATTCCGGACCGCCGTCTGCCGTTTGTCCACTTCCCATTACCACATCTCCATCGGCATCACGGAGGGGCAGGCTTTCAGCCACGCGCTGGTGGATTGCCTCCTCCTCCTCCGACTGTCCCTCCGACAAATTGTCAGCGCAGTCTTGGCAGATCTCGTAGATGTCGGAAATGTGTTTTCCACAATCTGCACATTCGCCCAGCGGCGGCAATGAAGGATTCTCGCAATCAGTGCAGAGATCGTAGGTCTTCTCATAGTCCTGCAACGGATCTCCGCATTCCTTGCAGCTTCCATTTGGCTTTTGGCACTGCTCATATTCCAAATTGAAGCAATCTTCGCATTCGGGTAGACCAAAGTTGCAGGGCAGAATGTCGCGATCGCAGACTTCGCAGAGTGGAAGCTTGGCATACCGATCAGTCACCATAGCAGGGATGTCGACCACATCAAGATACGACTTGACATCTGCCGTTGCCTTGACACCTTGGCCTGATTCGTAGCCACGCGCAACATGCATCCGAAGGAGTCGCGCCCACAACCAGCTGAAAACCAGGGAGTCGGAACGGGGACAGTATCCGCTGCGCTCAGAGGCCTGATGCGCTCGGCGAAGGGTATCCAGGCGGTACTTGCGCGTGGAGGATTTGAGATCGTAGAATTCCTCGCTGTCACAGTAGTAGATGAACATTTGCTTTAGCATTTCGTCGTGACGGGCGGTTACTTCTTGCTGAGTTGTGTTCTTGTTGCGCGAAGCAGGATGACCGCCGCCAGAAGAGACGTTCTTTGCCGTGTCATGGTGGAATGGTGGGGTGGAATGGGATGTCGGCACGACTGTTGTTGTGCTGGCGCTCGTAGAGATGCCATGATGTCCATTCGACGCTTCGTCTACCACCGCCCCAAGGGACACCTCTTCCAACTCTTGTGCTTGGGGCAACGATGCTCCTATCGAAGATGCCTTGTGAGAGGTCTGAGGCGACAGAGGCTTTGTTGAGGCCATTGTGTGTTGGTAGCTCTTAGTTCGTCGCGACAAAGGCTCGGGGTATTCTTTGTTCCCCTTACGTTCGTCAGGCGGCAATGAAGCGAGGTCAGCGTACTGTTGGTGTTGTAGGCGAGATGGGGACGGAGGTGTGGAACCAATTGCAATCTGAATCAGTCTTGCGAGAGTTGCACAACTCTTTAAGTATGCCTGCTCTGAAGACGACCAACACATAGTGGCATATCACGCAAGTGAATGCAGCACATACTCCAGTGTTATTCACGCTTAAATGTTATTCGCCCTTGAAGGTCGTTGCACTGGAAGCCACCTGCATCTGCATCTCCAAGCCCACGCTGCTTACTCGCTCGATAACGAACGATTGATTAACTTACCGATCGCTTGCACCCGCAAAGCGCGCGCGCTTGCCTCTGGCTGTCATCGCCAGTAGCTCGTCGAAGGATATGCTGCCAAAATCGATGCTGTGTCTTTAGAGAGCCCTGTCAGAGCTATTAACTTGTGAAGGAATGTGTCAGTGACTGATACAACATCTCCACACAGCGGAGAGCGATTAACTTCTGTCCACTACCTGGAAAGTTTCAGGTGGTCGCAAGTTTGATCGCGCAAGAGTGGCCGTGGGTGCAGGTCAAAGAGATTTCCAAGTCGAATCTGTGGCGAGAATCGTCTTTCCCACATGAAAGCTGGGGCGAGATTTCAACTCACGATCCTCGCGGATCAACTGCCGCAGGGTAGCAGGAGGTGCAGACGCTGGGAAGACAGACTCCGTTAATTTCCGCTGGCGTCAAGTGGATGCTGTTTATTCTTCGCTGCGCCAATTGAAGACGTCCAGGTTGTACGAGAGTTGCGCATTGGAGCATTTGATCTTCTGCTGAGGCAAAAGCTCGCAATCTTGACGACTGGTAGATTGTCGTCTGGCTTTTTTGCAGAATAAAGTGCCGAGGGAAGATGTTGACGGATTCTTGTCTAATAAGCCGAGATCGAGAATGGTCGTTCCTGGCAGATGCCCACAGCTTCTTCTGTTGATTTTCTCTATAGTTCGATCACGTTGACCTTCTGTTTCTCGCTGTCGACTGCAGAGCTTGTTCAAAGTTTGATCTTGTTCACCATTACGATTGTGTCCTCCTCTTCTCCGCCCGCTGACTCGTGTGCGGCCAGACTGCAGATGAAACACGAAGCAAAGACTGATCAGCAAAAAGACGAACGAGCGAGGGTGCGCTCTACCTCGGACATAAGCCATCTAGCGACAAATCTCCTTCCAGAAGTATCCCGTATGCTCGACGTCCGATCTCTCGGGAGACGTACCTCAATACGGGCCAGATCCAGCAATCATCGCTTGGCAAACCAGACGCCGGAGCTTGCGGGGGCCGCTATTCCAAGAGCCTGGGCACGGTAGGCCAAGTGCAGCACGACTGCAGGAAGCGCGCAAGCGTAGAATACATTTCTCGAGTGACGCGAATATTTTCCAAATGCTCCAACCCATTCTTCTCCCCATCTTCAAGACTGGCCGGGTCTCTCCTGCGTGATAATTTTTTCTCCAATTCAACTCGAGGACCTGTCGTCGCCCACGCTCATGACGCATTTTCGGACTTTGGATCTTCGGTACGACGTACAGCTCCTCTTCCGGACGGGGCTTTCAATGATAATGAATGAAATGTTAAGGAGGAGGAGGAGGATAGGAGAAGCTGAAGTGGAGCCAAGATCTGCGCGAGCGGCGCTTGGACCAGCCGCTTCGATCCAACAAACCCGGGACTTGGGCCGCTTGGCATCGTTCAATTGATCATTCGTGACACAATTGAGATCATGAGTCATCCCTACGCTGCAAGACACCACTGCACTACTCGATCCTTGCACACTGAACTTGATCTACGGTTTCCAATGGACATATGACAATGGCGATCCTCGCTGAGCACTATCCAGGACACCGACTGTCCACTCGACAAGGCAGCTTAGGAGCCTACTGCTAATGACCTTCTACCACCACAGGAAAGTCGGATCGGCAGCGATGAGACTCGAAACGGCGGGGCTCATGAGCGTGCAGTTAGCACGATCGACGAGTTGAGAAGAGGAGGTACGCAGACGTCGCAAGGCGGCAAGATTACCAACCACATGAAGAGAAAGGAGGACCGCCTGCGGCACTTCCAGTAACGGTCGACGAGGGTAGGAATCCAAGCTCTGAGTCCACAGCCGGAGGAAGTGCCGAGTCCATGAGACATGAGCGTCGTGATCTGAACACGTACCCGCTCGAAGAGGATGGAAGTGTTAGGCGCATCAAGAGTGGTGCACGATTTCTAGCAGCCCTTCAAGATGAGCGCTACAAGTGGGTCTTCATCAGCGTAATGTCCTGCATGACCGCCGCCCAGCTCATCTCAGAGCTCTTGCGCCTCTACTCGATCCAGACGACTTCCAGGAGACTCGGTCTCGGACGCGAAAGCGAATGCTGGTGAGTGCCAAGAAAGAGCCTGGATCAACGAAAGCCAACAGTGGTGCCTCGCCGAGAAGCGTTGTCGGGTTCGACCAGTTCTGCTTTCCTATACATCGCGTGGCTCAGGTGGAGGATCGTCAAGACAATACTGCAAAGCAAGAGCACGCAAGGCAGAACTTATATGTGAAGGCTCTCCCGGACGAATTCCGCGCAAGCTGACGTTTGTCTCCAAAGGGAACCCAGCATGGGAAGAGTGCGGCTGAGGCCTTCTATTCAACAACTACCACGACGACTCCTGCGAAGAATGCATGGGCTTCCACGACAACGATAGCAATCTGGACCGCGAGGAGAACTGCGTTCAGTGCGGACAAAATTGCTGCGCAAGGCAGTCTAAATCAGGTGGAGGACTCCAGCTTTCTGCGGCGTCTTCCAGACCCTGTCTACTACCAAAACACATGGAGAATGGTCACATTGCTCGCCTAGAAGAGCTCGTGAGTAGAGCTGCGGACCAACTGGCGGCACTAGCTAGTAGCGAGGTTGACCAAACCCACAGACGACGTCTCAAGCTCCGATCAGACTCTGTCCGTAGCATCGCACGATCGTAATCACACATTAGGAAGCGCGATCTGCTACGAAGAGAAGACAGGCTGCCGTCCGAAAGACTTGCTCACCTGCATCGCAGCCAGCTCAGCCGACGACCACCGGTACTAGGCTCGCTCAAACCCACGCATAAGTCAACAAGACGCCTCTAGCGCAAACCACTACAACGCACGATATCATTGGTAAGGTTATGAGACCCTTCGCAGTCCGAGTGGCCGAATACCATAAGGTAAGAGCTAGCACGCAGCTTTCGCTCAGAGCGGTGACAACAAGAAAACGGCGATTGGAGAGTATGCGCACATACATCTGATCTGGACGGATCTCAGCAGAAACGCACGGGATTGTCATGTCCTATTGGCCGTGATGGACATCTCAATCGCCTTGCCAACTCAGCTGTAAGGCCAGAGTGCTACACCTTGCCGATAGCTTGGTCCTGCCGGATAGTCTCCGCTCTACAATCAACGTGTCTGGATGCTCCCCGCGGCGGCTATTTCGAGCGAAGGTCTTCCGGACACTGTGATCATTGGTCGCACAATTTGCTGCCAACCAACGATACCAAACCATCTAATATGAGTAGTACCGCACTGTCCAGATTGCAGCTAGAAACCCCCAGGAAAGAGGTCTATGGCTCGGTCAAAAGCTGCAGTCTCCGCATGGAGCCACATCACAATCTATTTCGTGCACCCGTCTTTTCAGCATTCCGATGTGATACTGGCAGCCTTGCCGGGACGAAGATTCACGTTAGCGATTTGTTCGGCGCAGCCTTTCGCCCAATCAAGAATGTGGATTGTACGCAGAATGTCCTTACATCTCCTACTGCGGCTTGTCTTCATCCTACGGAGTCACCAGGCTGTCCTCTTCACTCGTCGATGCTCCTCTATATACCTCGGAAATCTGGCCCAAAGCATCTGCCACTGTAATCTTGGTCTTCCCAACTTGCAGCATGCAATAGCCAGTTCGCCGGTCCTCATTCGTCTCATGCGCTGGGTCAGAGCTGGTCGACCCTCCAGGCCAGGTTGTGTCTTCCCTCATGTGATACTGTTCCCGTTATTCCGAGTACCTGTCCGCAAAAGGCAGTTTTCCAAGTGCAAGAATGCTTCACCAATTTATGTCGACGGTCTCAATGTGTGCGACGATATGGTCTGGGGACGACCGCTCGCTCCATGGGACGCCGTTGAAGCGGGGGAGGTGGCCGGCCAATCAAAACGTCCGCTCCCACTTCAAAATTTCCTCTTCTCGTCTAGCGCAGCAAGGCCTCCTCACCTCACCTCATCAGAAAGCTGCTCAGCCGAACTTCATCGACTAGACTGCTGACGAATTCGACCGATCCGTCCGTTCCCGAGCATACAAGCGAACAGTGACATAAGCAAACGACGGAAGGAACATCACATCTCACACGGAAGGAATCTCGCAAGGAAACCTGGAAAAGCATCCGGCAGCGGACTCTCGACTTGAACAGAACTCTGTCGAGCGAAACGCAAACTGCCTCTTCGCCAGGATTGCAGCTCACACCAGCGGAAATAGTGACGGGAGGGCCAATACGGACGAGGGTACGATCCAGACTTGTCGCGAGGATCTAGCGCCCTACTTTGCGAACCCCAATGCAGAGCCTTATGACCTCGGATTCGGGCGCGGTATGAACAGCGCGGATACTGCAGGCCCATCAAAGACTTTACACCAAACAAGTGATGAGGCGCATGCGATCTATGGAGCCACGCACGGGACATCCCCGCCTGGAAGGAGAGTGTCACGTCAATCGCGCGCAGCGGCGCAGCCCCGGCCCGACCGCGAAGTACACCCATGACGCCCATGTATCGGTCCACACCTGGGGATCCAGTCAACTCGGTATAGCCAGGAATACATTGACATATGAACGAGGAGATGATTCAGATGAAGCTGAACAGGTTCGTAGCAGCTTCAGGACTTCCGACTGGCAGAGCGCAGTCAATACAGGGATCAGTTCCAGCTACGTGGCGAAAGTCTCGAAGCGATCAAGCAAAATGTGCACTTGGCCTTCAATATTCGAGAGCCTCCCATATATCTGCGACCAGTGCGTGCCTGAAGGGATGCCGCGGCACCAGAGTACGAAGGCAAGATCTTGCCGTGTCCTGTCACCTCATACCTTCTCTTTAGTTTCGAGCCCCGCCGCTTTGCAAACCTACCATCCCGGCACATGACCACGCCAAGGTCCTCAAGGAGGAGACAGAAGGTATGTGAAGTTTCAAGCTCCGCAACCCAATACATAGCTGTGTCTGGACGAAGTCGCGACGATACTGGTCATACTGCAGGCGGGGTTTCGCGCATGCCAGGGAAGCGTACGAACGCTCGCGGGATAGTGATCGACAGCGGCGGGAGACATCAGTCCTAAGGAATACCGAACAGGCCAGCGCCGACGGCGGTCCCGAACTCGACGACGCTACTCGACAAAGCGTCGGAATACGCAACGCACCAATCAGTCGCAGGTCTGCTCGTGGCCGACAGCCTTCAACATTGCAGCTGAGAGTGCGATACGATGTCACTGGGACAAAGATGCGAGTCAACAGCAGCAGACTATATATGGCGGCGAAGCGAGGCAGGACTCACGTCGTCAGAGTTGCGGCGAGGGACACAACGACTCTTGAAGGGGAGGAAAAGACACGTGCTGGGTTTGAACAAGGCCACATCCACGGCGGCGCCATCTGCGCCCGCACGCTCGTGGAGGAGAAATGCGAAGGCTGGGGGAACATCAAGACCGCCTGCGAGAATTGAAATTACACTGGAAGCTGGACAATCCCAAAGATTGGAGACGAATTCATGGCAAAGATGAGGTTGGCTCGGTTGAATGTTGCCATCGCCGACACCACGTGGCACGATGCTCGCTGTCGTTGCACTTTGTATCCGCTCTTATACTTTGCACAGTTTGAATTGGAGTTGTAGCTCCTGCAAAAGTTCTTACTATCGTCTTCGTCTTCTTCTACATCTTTATTCCCTACGTGCGGATGGTCCATTCTGCTCAAGCTCCGCAAGTGTCGCTCGGAAGCTCCATCTCGGACGCTGAAGGCTATGTGCCGTGGGACGGTGTAAGACAATATTGAGTCCAGCCACAGTAGTCGAAAATGGATGTACATGACGAGGGGATTGGTCTCCGGCAGCTTTTGGCTCCGTTCTCCAGAACGCCATTATGGGGCAACGTACAGGTGGTTGCCCGCCTCCTTTCTATCCAGCCATGTATCTCTTCTGATACTGGGCGGAGAACTCCTGCGTACAAGCTCGTCGAATCTCTGTAGCCTGTAGAGATGCACTCGCACACCACGCGTGCTGGCGAAACACGTACTGGGAAAATGGAGCGCCGTCTCCGCGCGTCCCCTGTGGAGCTCTCGAGCTTTCAAGTAGCCTGTCATGCTCCAGTTACTTCTGTCACCATTACCAGGCGAGGGCGCATCCAACAGGTCGCAGACGCTCGCTCACATACGATCCAAGAGCAGATACTCATTCCCCTGCCGTCCGCTCTGCGACTCCCTATATGTGTCGCTGTCGTTGAGGTGAGGCAGAGAAGCGCTACAAGCATAAAAGCCGAATGGCCTTCCATCGGACTAAAATTCAAGATGGGATGTGGTTTGTGCAACAGTTTTATTCACGCCTCTTGATCTGCATTTCGTCTGAGAAGCAAGAGGTCTTTCTCTATTGTATGTCTGGTCTAGCGCGCGCGTGAAGTCAAGTAACAAGTCCAACGCCAAAGCCACGCCGCAAAGCATTTGAACATGCTTGTCCCTACGCGCCGACGTACCATCATTCCGGCTCTGTCCTCTTTCGCGTCAAGGACCCTATCGTACGCGTCTATTCAGCAGCTGCAATCTACTTCTTCTGCTCAAACGCCTCCTTCATAGCCTCTCCAAACTCCTTCTCGTCGAAGACCTGCTCTCCCATCTCCTGCAACTTAGCCGCATCGCCCTGGCGGCTCATGTTGATGAAGCTCGCAATCGCGCCCACGAGACACTTCTTCGCCATCTTCTTGTCAGTGTCCGGCGGGTCGCCGCCCATGAAGGCCTGGACGTCGATGTGAGCGAAGCCGGCGGCGGCCAGGGATGGTGGAGCGTGTGCGGTCTCGTTGATGGCGGCGGACTCGTACGTGTTCTTGAGGTGCGTCTGGGCGAGGTAGCCGGTGGGTTCGGCTGGCTTGTTGTTCTCCTGTTCGTCCATGAGCGCTGGGCCAACGGCGAAGACGCGGCGGGTGGGAAGTGGAGCTACCTTTGGGGGGGTGGATGTCTTTGGGTTGAGCTTGAGGAAGGAGTTCTGCTCGGTGGTGTTTGGAGTGGTCTGCATTGTTGTCAGCTGCGAAGTTTCAGCTTGATCCACGGTCTTGCTCACCATCTTGAAGATGCTCAGATGCTGGTGGTGGTTGGGGCGGTCTTGAGATGTATTTGATGCGTGCTGTTCTGTGTCGTGGTTGTCTTGTGGAGTGCGTGAGAGTGGTGTTTGTCTGAGTGTTTGAAGGTGCAAAGGATGTGTGGAGGAAGCAGAACTGAAGGAGTGGAACGGAGGGCTTAAATAGAAAATTCTGTGCGCGGCTAGCGCCGTCGTCGTGGAGACGTGACGTGTAAGCCAGTGTCTTCACAATGACTTTGTAATTCACCCTGTAAGAAGGCCAAGGGGACAAAGCCATTAATTCCACAAGGGGTTGAAGTACGAACATCATAACGACTCAGCTGGCGTTACCGGGGACGATGAAAACTTCCGCCAAGTTTCCATCAATCTGTAGAATGACTTGACAATATATGCTATCCATTTGATACATGTTTTAATAATCAAAAAGTTTCCACCGCACGTTCCGTTCAGCAAAGCAATTTCGAAAAGCTTCACGGTTGAGCCTCCTTACGCACGCGGCGCGCCCTTCACCACCATCACTGTCGCAGACGACGAATCAAAAAAAAAATATGGCCTCGCTGGGAATTGAACCCAGTACTTCCATTGCCCAAGACGGGATCCCGGCCGCGCCACTGCCGTCTACTCACCTAACGACCTGACCACACGCCACGGGGCCGAATATAGGATGGATGTGTTACCAGTACACCACGAAGCCTTGTACCTCAGCTTTGCTGATTGGATATTGGCGTGTGAGCTGCTTGTACCTGTATAGCTTAAAGCACAATGTGGGGCCCGAGCGCTTTGGCAGCCCGCTGAGGCGGCGCGTGCTTCAAAAAGGGGGGCAATGGCTTGACTCTCCGCTGTCCGGGGACTTGACGACTCAGAGTCAATGCACTATGTGCCCCGGTATAAGAATTATTGTGACCCTTGACAATGAAGAGAGAGCTCTTGTTTCTCTAAGATTAACTACTAGCGCCTGCATTGCGGCCAGATGGAATGTATGATGAATATCACGACGCGTCAGGGCCAGGAGGAAACAATTGAGGAGCAGCAAAAGCGAATGAGGCGAGCCCGAGCATCTACAGACAGCCACTCCATCGATGCAATCGAGGGGGCATTGCAGGCATACACAAGATGAGCGTAAGTTGTGACTAGACTGAACATTCCCTTCTCGTCCATAGGACCATGGGTGTTGACCTCCTACGTCTCGGCCTCAAGTATCTTGAACGCCGTACCCCTGGATCACCTTGCTGGATATATCAAGCACCACCACTACAGCGAAGATACGCTTGGAAGAAACAATGCTTTGTTCGAGTCCGCAAGGAATGCGTTCCAATTACCGAAAGGAGCAACATGCGAGGAACAAAGCGCAACATTCCAGTCAAGCTCCCTCCTTTGATCATCAAATCTGACAAAGCCTTTCTTCTCGGGCTTCGTCTCTCCCCCACCATACGCCCGGTTTTGCTATTGCAATCTTACCGGCCTCATGGTTCGACATCAAGAGTCGTACCGGGCCCCGGCAGTCTTTTCAGATCTCTTGGCCTTTTGGCTTGGATCAGATACGGGTGCCGTCCATCTCCCATCCCCGTCTCCTGCTGACTTTCTCGCAGCTGCAGTATCCGTTTTCCTGGCAGTGGAATGTCTCATCCGCCTACAGACTATCAACATCTTACTCCTACGCCTGGTACCTGTCGGCAGACCACTGGGCTTACTTTTGTCTGGCAGCACCGCGTCGACGGTATTGCACTACCTCCTTATCGCGTGAAAGTTTGTGGTTTATCACTCGTCTCTTGCTGTGGTGAGGACCTGGAGACGTATCATCGTAGAATGCGCTCGCGATCGATCTGTCGTGTTCTTGGTATGATGTTAGAATGTTGTGGGAGCTGTGAACGCGTATTCAGGTCTTGGGTGCTGCTTATTGTTGTTATTAGTTCTCAAAAGCGCGTTGCTACAGCCACCACTTCATCCAGGCCCTAGACCAAGCAACCTTGTACCGGGTCTCGATCAAACTTGACACTGCTCAACGTCAAATCTACATTATCCCTCGCGTCCGTACGTCTCGGCGCGTTGGCGCCAGAGCCTCTGCACTCTGATCGTGGACTGGCAGCGCCACGACATGAGTGTGTACCCACTCACAGCAGCCCTCATGGCTACGGAACTACCCAATCATCTTTCTCCGTCGTTCGAAGCTGACTAGGACAAGCTGAAACATCGGAAACCCGATTTCGACTCCCGTGTGCGATCACGCGCCGCACGTTAGCAACCGCGCGGTCGCTTCTACACTGCACCCGACGCTCCGCACACTTGCCATGTGCGCTGGCATTTGAAGATGATATACTTCTCGCATAACAGCCCTGTAACTCCCTCAGCGAGATCTCCGGCATCTCAGGAAAGAAGATCGAGCACCCGCATCCCAAAAGACTGGCCAGCCAATCTCTCCGATGAGTGCTTCCATCAGCGAGAACAACATGCAGATACGACACCAAGAAGAAGGCGGATACAGACACGCCACGCGAGCGCACACGACTCAAGGTGGAGAGGAAGGGCATCTCTAGTCGTATCAAAACAGGACCAATTCGTGTCGATCTCGAGTATTAGCATGAACGCATGGACAACACACGCAGCTCTGATTTTGACAGCTGATTGCTCGAATTTGCACTGGCATTCGACTCCACAAACCCTGTGATAAACGGCAGCAATTCCTCGATCTGGTCGTTTGCATTTATTCGGCCGGTCTGAGGCTTTCGAAAAGACCAGGGACGTTAGAAGGACACAAGGATTGTTGTTGCAGCCGCGGATGATGTTTTGAAAAACTAAACACTGTCCTTCCCTGTGATCGACTGGCTCATCACGCACTTGGGAATCAAACCGATCCACTGTGGCTGAGCCGCACGCGATCACTTTGAGGATTCCGCCGTCTTGGAGGGAAAGCCGTCAGATGGGGAAGACTACAATGATACTATCTGTACGAGGACTTCCCTGGGTATGAGCAGGATAACGAGTTGGAGGAGGCAATAGGCGTCATACCCTAACCCTGATATCTAAGGAGGTCTTTTTGGCTCATGAAGCGTAGACGATGCGTGTTCAAGCAGTGTCTCGCTTCCGACATAGAGTCAACCGGTCAATCGGCTGTGTTGCGAAGTAGTCGCCTACAAATCGTAGGCTCTGCCGCTGCTTGGGACACACCTACCACCTGCATCGCCCTGGCGCTGGTAACTCGCTCAACCACGGATTCCTGTGCTACACCGATCGAGACTTGCCTTCCAACAGCAAGGCGGTTCCGACCCTTCGGCACCCAGCGCCTGCTCACAGCTACCAGCGCAAGCATCTCGCCATCGCTCGGCACGCTGCGAGCATTGCCGCCGATGCTTCTGTCGTGCTTAGCATTTTGTCAGATGCTCCCGCTGGACCACTGACATCTCGCTGCGGCAACAAGGGGCGAGTAGCTCATAGTGGAAGCAGATGAATCCTCTACGACGAGAGTCCCATCATCTTGCGCTTTTCACGATGCATCCTGTCAAGAGATTCTACAGATCTTGGCGGCAATCTGGCATGCCAGATTAAGCGCGGGGAATGGAAAGGAGTTCCGATCCCTCTGACGATCGATCATGAATGGTGATACCGTTCCGAAAACAAAGATGGGAGGCAGACGAGCTGCATTGCAGTATTTATCGCCGTACTGCTTCGCGTCGAGAAGTGACGTTGTTGCTCCTGTCACCCGGAATCCGATCACACCGGTGCATCTTACCGATGCTTACGTATGCTAAAAAGGAGTCAAAATGGACAGTCTGCTCAAGCAGCGCCGCTCCGGCCGTTATTTACATTCAGCGAGCTGGGCAATTCCTTGACAGCAATACCTGGAAGACCCGCCACCATCGTCGGATATCTTCTCTGCTCTTCCTGCTTTTCAGTATCCGCCCACGCTTACGGTACCTCTGTTACGCTGGTCTATCACATGCCGTCGACGCCACTCAGGTCGAAGGGCATCCGTCCTACGACTCGCTCCTTGATTCTGTGGGTACGACACAACATATGGTCTAGTTCAGGGGCTGATATTCATACAGGAACAGCACATCCATCACCTCCGAGTCCTCGCCATGGACTACGCTGTGGCCGGCATCGAGGTGTGCGGTGACAACAGTCGAAAAGTCTGGAGATACCTGTCTATATCGCGAACATATCCGGTGAGAAAGGAGGTTCGTAGCGAAGACGTGACGGCGGTGCTCCGCAGACAAAAGGAATTCTCCACGGTCTGCAAGACAGATCAACCCCGCGCAAGGCTGCGAGAAATATGCAATTACTTCGACGCTGCCGGGAGTCACGCACTGGATGCTTTCTGCGTGATGAACGTTCCTGATCAAAGACTAGCCTAACTTCCCAATGTCGGCTTGACCCGGCTATATTAGACATATGCTCGCTGCCCGTATGGTATGGCGGGAGACTGGCCTCTTCGTCCGCGACCGAGTCGACATCGAGCCTCGCACAGCGCAATCAAGAGCGCGGTATTGGAGCCATGTCTACGGACTGTGAGAACTGAGTTCGGCGAAAGACTGGCAGTCTATACGTCGGATGAGTCGGGATGACAACGGTCGCGGGAAGTGCGACCGCGCGCTTGACTCAGACGACACCTGGTACGAGATCCAGCTTCACATGCTGAAGCCCGCGTCGAACGCAAGGTTGGAAGCCAAGTAACAGGAATCACGATGGAGCTCTTTGACTTCCTACCCGCCAACGAGAAGCATAGATTACACGGCAGGGGCACAATATTACCGTGTGCCGACGCGGCGACGGTCGACAAGCTGCTCCAGACTCCAGAGGAAGTGTGACTACTGCGAGTCAGACAAGACCTTCCGCCGTCTCTACATCGAAATCTGCCAGGCGTAGATCTCGGAGTGACTGTCGGCATATATGTGGCTCTGTACCCCTCCCAGTCATGTTTGCTACTTCATGAACGCGGACAAGCAGAACGAGGCCAGGAGAAACGAGGCTAAGAAGAACGAGGTCGTGGAGAGCGAGGACGAAGATAAAATGATCGGGGAGATCACCGCGAGAGCCAGAGTTGCCTAGGTTTCTGTCATGATCAACTGGGCCACGATAGCTCAAGGTGACCATGACAATAGTGGTAGAACCGTAGAAGGATCTAGCACACCTTTGGATTGGTTTGGATTGCTAATCGTTCGGATTCAGGAGGTTGATTGCTAGGAATGCTTTGACATCCTGCTTGCCTTCCTTGTCTGCTTTGAATCACTGCTTTGAGACACGCACTCTTTCTTCGAGAGCCACTGGCTATATATACGGTCTTCAAAGTCGCTATTAGGTGGAGTACGCAATACACAGTGGTCTTTTCTACCCCCTACATACTTTCGCACAATAGCGCCGGCACCAAAGACACCGAGTGGGCCGAGTGCATGGGAGTTGGCCATTATACACTACCGAATCAATCTATATATGCGAGATATAGATGGGCGAACGGATGCGAAGCGTGAGAATTGCTGCTTGTGTGGATGCAAGTTTCGAATGTTATTGACATACTCGGCAGCAACGTGAGCTTTAACGAGCAACACCACCAACACGGAGCCGCACGACTTCCAGCGAAGCGAGTGGGCGGAAGCAAAGACGATTGCAGGCCGCTCCTACTATTGCAACGAGAGCACCGGAGAGACGAGCTGGCACAGGTACGATGAAGAAGGAAACGATAGAACGCAAGGCATGAACTAACAATATACTATCCACAGGCCAGGGATGAGCCTGCGCGGTCTGGAAAACAATAGCACCGCTCCGTTCGCTTCGTCATCCCGCGCACCACCACCACCGCCGCACCACACAGCCCCAGCTATGCCAGCATTCTCTACCTCGATGGGACTCTCACGCATATCCTGCTCAAGCCAACGCCCACAACGCATCTCAACTCAACTACGGGTCCGCGACGTCTATATAAGCTCCACTAGCAGTGCCAGCATGGCCGACCGCTGTGGAAAACAACGGTACCGCTCCGTTCGCTTCGTTATCCGGTGCACTACTATCACGACCGCCGCCGCCGTAAACAGCCCTAGCTATGCCTGCATTCTCTACCCCGATAGGACTCAACAGCTCTATGTCAACCGCTGCGCTATACGATGCTGCGTCTCCGCTAGAGCGCACGTCCAACGAGCTCCCGGATCCCTACAACGAACACGTCTTCCACGAGCTGGAGAGCAGAGCGCAGAGCATACCTGCTCCACATCACGGTCTCCAAGGAAGAAGAGGTCACCTGCAGCACGGAGTTCCAGTTGAGCGGACAGCAGGTGGCACAGGACGAGGTTGCACAGATGGACTACGAGAGTCAGAGGAAAAGCTTGGAAGTGCGTCCTCGAAGACGCCTCGGAAACGCAAGAAGGACCGATACTCCGGCAGAGTCATCGCACCCTGCAAGCCCTCCGATGCTGGAGCAATTACCACCGCGCTTCCTGCACGACCCGTCCAATGCCTGTTTCGTGGACCCAGTCCCACCAAGACGGCACCCTATGGGCGCCATCCACCGCTCTCGATTGGTTCTTTTGGGTGCATTGCCAATGGTTACACATGGATGGAATGGAGCGCGCCACGTATGATTCGGATGTCTTCTTCTTCTGGAGAGAATGCCGAGCAGGCCCGATGCATCTACCGCCCGGCACTCAAGACGGAGGGTCCCTGCTTGAGCAGGAGCTATCTCGTCCCCAAAGCTGCGGAAAGGACAGTGAGACTGACCTGGAAGGCATAGATACCGACAAATGGAGGGAGATGTGCTTTCGATCCGTCAGACCTGTCCTCAGCATTCGTCTTTCGGAAGAGTTGGCTCTCAACGAGATTATGTTGTTTACTGAGGGAGATCACCTATATGTGAGAGCACTCAATGGAACTGTCTCTGCCTAGCCCATATGATTGTGTTGTCCGGATCACCGCCATCCTTTGCGCGTTTGGACAGCCTAGAAGTAGGCTCCTCCTTGCCACTGTGTTCAAGAGGCAGCTCCTCCATGCACATTGAGTCATTGACTACGATGGCGAACATCCACCAAATGAATCTCTCTGTAAATTTGAAACCCTCGTCAAGCGCTCGACAGCGCCTTGAATCATGGACCGCGCCCAGGATCGTATTGCAAGAGGGTCATTTGATTCCAACCGATATCAGATCGCAAGAGCTTTGGTCATCACACCGCCCATTTCAGATTGCAAGAGATGTACCTCGTATTTTCGCTTGCTCTGACGATTGACCGATAGTAAATAATTGCTCTAGATTGGAAACTAGCAGTCTGCTGTCTGCAAAAATTATGACAACATACGGGAGTGAAGGTTTACGTTCCAATGGTCTTCGATAGACTAGTACGCCACGATCTCTGTGTATTGGACCTGCCCAGACCTGTGTCTAGGTTTGACGTCTGCGACTTACGGCATCGAGCTTGCTTTTTCCTTTCTTGGACGTCGCATACCCCAAGACCGTCATCGTTTCACTGTGACAATCTTCGAGAGCCTCACTGGTAACGGGATCCACTAGCAGCAGCTCCTGCTTTTGAAGTTGCGGAGACGTGGAGTTCCTTCACCGGTCTCGGCATCTGAGAATACATTTGAGGTCGGCGAGAGAAGTTTCCAAAGAATCATCTGTCTGGATACGGCAAATCCTGCAGGAATTGAAAGTATCTCGGGTTTGTAGAGTTGGTCCCGTTGACCCTTGAATGGTTGATTGCGTGTGCAGTCCGGAGCCTTTTCGCAAGGCGGCAAGAGACTGGGAGATTCAAAGCTTGGAAGCCCAATTGTTGGCCGAATTGTGGATCCAAAGCGCTGTTGAACGAGTAGGGGAACGAAGAAGATCGCGAAATCACAAGGCCTTCCTGATGGAGCGTGGGCAAAGGATCAATCCATATTTAAACTATTGTCATGATCATGACTCGGTAGCTGGCTTACGAACGTGTCTCCGGTCCTGTGTTGTTCCGGTCACTCACTGCTAAGCTTAGCTGCTCGTACATAGGCAGGCCGTAATACGTATGATGTGACAGAATACAAATGTGGGCTTCGTCCCCGAGAAAAGGGATCTTGGTCTGTAAGCTGTGATTTCAAATCTTTCCCAGTACCCCTCCGATCGGCCTGCAGGATCTGCTACAAACATCGCCGTCTTCGCATCTTCGTTCGGGCTAGCCCAGCTCACTCGGAGCTCCTTGCTACTACCGAGCCCTTGCTATGTGGCAACGACTGTTGCTTCTTCCCTCGGCGCCTATGACATTGCATCCATAAGGCACCGATCAATTGGTAGCCGTAAAGAAGGATGCAGGTCAGGGTTTTGCCCATGCCGGTGTCGTCTCTGATGTATCCCCTCATTGTGGACAGAGACTTCAACGAGTCGACCACTCGCCTAGTACCTGGGTCCATCTTTTCCATGAAATCGCGTGGCAATGACAGTTGCCTCTTCTCTCGCCGACGATGACATTGTATGGGGCACCGTCCTATCGCCCGAACCTTGGAGACAAACAATCGCGCTTTTCGAGCAGACAACCGGAAACCAGCCCACAGGAGACGCGGAAACAACTATCTCTCAAGTACGTTGAACATGTCGACCAGGGCCACTTCCACATTCGACACAGTTATGCCGACGTACAAGTCATCGAACTAGAAAGTGCGTTGAGCAGGAGTCCATGGGTCCGGTCCATGAAGGCGGGATGGCTCATCACTCGATATCGTACCAAGGGCCATGTTCATCAGCTGAGACACAGTGAAAGAGGACGAGCGGCACCCTTGCGGCATGCGCGTCGGCTGGAGCTGTCCGATATCTGGAATGGTGAATGCTAGCAGATGCCAACCACCTGGGTAGGCTATGCAACTTGGTATCTCTGATCCACAGTGCGTACGCGTATGGGCTGTCCAAGCTTCACGCCTTCTCCTCCGCAGCGTATTCAATGTGCCATTGGCCGTCCTCCCTGTCCAGGTGCAAGCCAAGTGCGATGAATCTGGAGATCGTCTCCCACATACGGAGCAAGAAAGCTCCTCCGAACTTCGAAGAACAGTCCCACCAGCTCTTGATCCAGAAGTCGCTTAAGAACAGCAGAGGCCTCGATCAAGGGTGACTCTCCGAGGTCGGCGTTTGAATTGGTCCACTTCTCGAGCCGACTCATGGTTTCCTGTATGCATCCGTCGAAACCCGCCTTGGCGGTGAAGTGAAGCGTCGAGAGCCCCTTGCCCATTCCGCTGGATAGCTGCACACCGCTTACCGTGACGGTGAAGTTGCGGATTCGAGTGGAGATGGCGCCATTCGGGATGAAAACACAGCGCAAGAAGTGCACATTCCCGTCGTAGCTACTGAGAAAAGAGCCGTGGATGCGTAGACGAAACTCCGTTTTGGAAAACACGTAGTCCCGGACCTCTTTGTTGAGAGTGGAATTGACCGCGGCGAGGTTCTGGAACGTCTTGCGCTCTTTGGACGTCAGGTCCTCGATCGTACAGCGTCGGGGGCTCTTGTTCGAATGCTACGTCGGGTACAGATCGACTTCAACGCGGTGAAGTCCGAATAGCTCGTAGATCTCGAGGCGCAGCTCTGCAGGCAAAGGAAGGGTAATGCGGTCGTTCGCCATTTTGGCTATTCGCGTTGTCGGGCGAGCACTTGGGAGCTTGCGCGGATTTGATGCTGTTGAATTGTTGTTGTTGGATTGTTGTTGAGATGGTCGCTGCTCGGAGACGCGAACCGTAACGACGTGACTTAGTGCGCACGGACGTCTTTGTCATCCGTTTGTGGAGCCTCGCTTCCGGCCCTTCCCACAATGTTAATGTTTGTAGGAGTCTCACTCTCGCCGACTGTCCTTCTCGTGCCTGATGAAGACACTGAAGATAGTTGCATATAGATGTCCTAAAAGACTATGATAGGTGACTTCCCGGCCCACGACTCTGTCTTGAAGACCCTCGCCATTCGCGCTACAACAAATCCTGAAGGAAGTAGTATTCACCAAGTGATTTCGGACGGGAGACTGTGGACTTCTAGGATAGAGACAGCTAGAGGAAATCTTGAGCAGGAGTAACATCGATGGTCTCAAACGTTTGTCCAAGCAATTGTTGCGGTGCTGGTCTGCATCCCGCATCACATTCGCTCAGTACTGATGAGCACAAAGGAAGAGATCGAGCGACTTTTGGGAACGAGACTGTGGACTTTGAAACCGATTGATGTCCGCTGAAGCGTGCAAGGGGGAGGAAATTGACAGCAAACGAAGAGACAGCACTGTGGAAGACAAACAAATCATGCCACTGCAACAATACGCGTGGCGAAAGATTGCTGCACAAAGCATTGAGAGACAGAGAGACAAAGATAGACTGCAGAAGACGGTGTTTGAAGAACCCACAAATACACGCCCTTTGTTTCCGGCCCGGAATAGACGCATCTCTTTGTGCGTGCGGCTCCTAAATCTCTCGAAAGTTAAAACGAAGCCGCGTGAACCGTGTAGTATGATATGTCTAGGCAGCGAGTCCCATACAGGACACGGCCTTCGTTCCTGCAACATTCTGAATCAGTCCCAGTGCTCTTCGGCCGGTCCGAGCAGTTGTTTGGAGTAGGTAATTTCTTTTTGTTATTCTGACATTACGTGGCCAAGATGGATGCGAGGACAAGGGCAGGCAAGAGGAAAGCGGAGGCAGAGCCAACTGCCACAGTCGATGTTGCTGATAGAGATGACTCCGGAAGTCAATCATCCTCAAGCAATAGCTCTCAGGCGATTGCTACCTCCCGACGATTGCGTAGCCAGCAGTCCAAAGAAAGCGATGATGAAGATGAGGATCCCATTCGAAGACCGACGAAGAGGCGAAAGACTGTGCGCTCTGCTGACGAAACCTCTTCTGACTCAAGCTCTTCCGACCGCGAATCACCAGAGTCGGATGAGGATGAGCTCTCTGGCACCGTGAATCTAGACCGAAGAACCAGAAAAGTGCGTCAGCAGAAGCGGCGGGCTGCGAACAGGTTTCGTAACGTCCCAGAGGGTGCTGGACACACCTACACGTTTGACCTGAGTAACCAAGACCGTGTTCGCTGGATCGGAACTACGGAATGTTATACGTGCGTCGGGACCTATTTCGCCATCAGCAAGGAGAGATGCTTCATCGGTCACTGGAACTATGAGCTCACTCATCGCAGCCTTGCGCAGAGAGTGAAATCCAATAGACGGAATAAAAGTGCCCAAACGGATCCAGAGGGAACGAGGTGTGTAAGTGTGAGTGCTGAAGCGCAGTCGCCTTCTCATATTGACAATCAGGGCGCTCGCGATCCCAACGAATATGCTGTCGATGATGATGCCTTCAATTTCATTCGTCGGAACGTCAAAGACAGACTGAACGAATGGCAGTTCTTGTCCTCTTGGGGCCCAATCACGAATCTCATGAGAGACTCCTTGATAATGATCTGTCCAGAGGGTAACAAAGACACCGGTTCAAGGTACGTTGGCGACGCCGTTGTCGCTGGAATACAGGAGTGGCTTGGAATGCGGACACTGGATCCTCAGCCGCAGGGACAATATCAGAGTTTTGTCGTCTGGCACGATGGGAGTACAAGGCCTCCGCGAAAACTTTTCCAGGGCGGTAATCCAGCCCGCCGAGGCGATGCGTGGCGGCGATACAATCAGTCCGTCAATGGCAAGTGTGAGCACCAAGCCGTCCGAGGGGATGGAAAGAGTCTCACGCACGCGTTGCTTGATCCAGATGCGTCCGCCGGCGAAAGTGAAGTAGACACTACTGCACAGTGCAGAGTGAGTAAGGTCTCTCCTCAGTACATCCCCGTCTCTTGTATATCGTTCCATGCAATGAAGCAACACGCGAATCCGCGATCGCACAGGCTTCTTCGTTCTTCGCGAGATACTGTGCCAATCTCCTTCTCCCGTTCCACCTCAGCTCCCGTTGGGATCTTTCGATCCCGTGTGTCTTCCTCATGTCATCTTCGGTGTGCCGTCTGCCAGAGCAAAACATCTCCTACCCGTGCGCGACATGCCACCCCCCACTTCACCTGGTCCAGCCGGCTGATCTCAAGCACGGCTGGTTGAAACCAGGGGCGTGTCTCACGACAAAAAGTTTCGTCATCTACGACAAGTCGTTGTTACGCCCCTTCCCATGCAAGGCTGGGAAGATACCAAAATGGTCACCCTTCATGCAAGGATGGAGAATCTGTGCCCGGGAAATCTCTGGCTGCGTGATGTACATTCACCTGCGTGAGATGCTCTCACTCTGGCGGAGGCTGGAGGGAGGCCGCATGGGAGCCGTGTTTGCCGCTTGCACGCGGTGTCGTCCGCGAAGAGCTCGCTACTCACGACTCGCAAGATGTTAGCGTACCACTCCTGGACATTGTCTCCGAATCGAGCTCACGGTGCGGAGGAGCCAGAAGGGAGGCGAAATGTTGGTGCCAGGCTGCTCAAATACGGTGTTCGTGAGGATCTCTCGCCCTTCAGACGCGTGAGGCTGCTCCGCCCATGCTCAATCGAGCGGACGACGTCGATAATCTGATAACTGACTCACGGTTTAATCCGCACAACGCTAGGGTAGTCCCGCACGCACGCCTACAAAAGACATTCCTCTTGCCAGAAATTTCTTCTTTCCTTCTCTCCACAACAACGAATTTCGCACTTTTCATTCCGGTCGTTTTGGCCTGTCACCTTTTGGTGCCGCCCTTTGAGTGCTCTCGGGCTCTTGGGAGCGCCTCTGCGGTCCTGCCCGTCCCAACGCGATCCCCAGGATCGCTGAGTACTCCATCCTCCTCGCCGTTGACAACCGCATCACGCTGACATCAATCACAGCGTTGGGACGTGTGGCAGCTGCAGCTGTCACTGGTACGTTCATCACTTCTCCATCACTTCGCGAGGTTTCACCACGCTGACTGGTTTGTTCACAGCCGCTCGAGACGTCTAGTCTCGAGTCATTGTCGGTCTCCGGTGGCGGCGGCGGAGGTAAGTCACCCACCCACCACCCTCACTTTGCTCTTGAAGACCCTACTGATCACATGCCACAGCCAACTGGGGGGTCGGGTTCCGGTCCTGCCTGCTGTGTGGGGTTCGTATACCCACACGCCCGCCAGGCGACCGACCCACACGCCCGCCAGCAACCGGCGCCGCTGCCACCGGACATGCGTAGCCCATCACCATCGACTACGACTCGGACGATGCTCGACTCATCGAGCTGAAGCAGCAAGATCATACCGACGCCCTCCTTGCCGAGACGCTCGCGAAGGAAGGTCGCATGAGATTCTCTGCCGTCGACTGCCGCTGTGAGCAGCCAATCGTCGAGATTCCGGAACATCATGATCGATGCTGAAGATGAGAGACTGGACGATGAGCTCAGTGGTTGGCATGCGGGCGAGGTACGTCGGAGACTTTGATCATGTGCCGTATCACTCATGTACTGACATTCGCAGGATGACAAACTCAAGGAGATCTTCGACAGTCTCGAGCAGAAGCTCAAGGAGAGCCTGGCGGAAATGGAGCAGACGGGGCACCGCTCTTTCATGACATGAATCGTCAGTACTTTGCATCGCCCGCTCTCACCTTGCAGTTGCTAACTCACAATTACAGTCCAATCCTAACCCTAACCCTACCTCAGCATCGTCGCCGCCGCCAACCTCATCAAATCCTGCAGCAGCGTCGACATGTCACATCTTCGCCACGAGCCAAGACAACACCACGACAGCTTCCACAAGCAGTTCGACCGCCTCTCCTCAACACTTCCCGCTCATGTCCTTCGTCATCACCGATTTGCCGCGGCACGATACGCAAGCTTTACACCAATCTCCTTCCCTCTTCACAACTCCGCCGCACAGCATCGCCAAGTGGCACTGCGGGACTGTTACAAACAAGATGCGAGCTCAGGGTATGTAGGCACTCAGATTCAGGGCGGAAGGGGGGCGAGGGCATTATGTTTGTCAGATAGATCCAAGCTTGAATGTGAAGGGTGTAACTACTCAAGTCAGTTTTCGTATCTCAATTCCTGCTTCTCATTGCTCGCCATTGCTCGCCGTCCCACTTCGAGCGTAGCCTTCCAGGTCTCCATTAGCTGAGGACTCAGCGTCTGACAACTTCCAGCTCGTCCCTCTGGCAAACAGTCAAACCACTGAGCTCTGCTGTCGTGTTCCACACGAGACCGGTTTGTTAAGTCAAGCGTAAGGCAGTGCTCTACCATCTGCGCCGTCTACGGCGGAGCAAACGCACAGCTCGCCGACTCCGGCGGACATTTCGCCTGCCAATGGTGCGCCTATCAGATCCGTTGTCTGACTCAGCGATCTAAAACGCATCGTTCTCGATGCCTCCTCCTTCTTTCCCCCGAGCACACCCTTCACAGGACATCGCATCTGCTTCCTTACCTGACGACTTCGCGCTGACATCTCAGGGAGTCTACGAAACGTTCAAGTTCGGAATATCCATCCATTCGCACGGTCTACTGCCTTGTCCGCCGTTGACATGCCAGGGGACGTTCAGCTGCAAGGAAGGCAGTCAGGTCTCCGCGGGCCTGATGATATCTTCTACGTCCAACGCAGCAAGGATGACGACCATCTGGATGTCCGTGATGAGTTTCATCGACGCAGAAGTGAGCCTGAAGTGGAGAAAGAGCACTGTTAGATCGCTGTCTTAACACGCTCAACCTGCCGATATCTACAGAACAGCTGCGTCGTCTTGACGACACTGTAATCCGGGGAAAGAAGTGTTTTTCACCGAGCATATCAGGCCACTCTGTATAATCAATCATCAGTATCATCCAAACTCCGTACATGGTGCGACACAGCTTACGGTGTACATGCTCAGGCCCTACCTCGTCAATCTTATCGATCTTCCCTCCCTCATCTTGAGCGGTCCCGCAAAGTGAGCGTAGTAAATGAGAAAGGTCTTTGGAAGCTTCTTCTTCGAAGTGGTTTTTGGCAAGGGCCTTTGGGTTGGAATCAAGTAGCTCGTGGATTTGAGCCAAGCATTTCACGATTGGGTATTTGAAGTCAATAGGACTGTAATATGGTTCGCACGGCCAAGGGTGGTTGGTCAACGGGACATCAAAGCTTTCGAAATGGTCAGCGAGAAGTGTCGTGGTCGGACACTGAGCCTAGCTTACATGTGCGATATGATAAGAGGTGCTGCAATGCATGTAGCTGCCATCGAAAGCGACGAGGAAATGTTTGAGACTTCTCTGTTTGACAGAGGGCCAACGTTCGAGCTGGTGGTTCTCACACGAAGGGAGGTGGACTTTCGTTACCCATTAGTGTCGTGAGGCCAAAGCAGCATGACCTTTCTGGACAAACGGGACTTCCCTGTTCGAATGGATCCCAAAAAATGCCTGTCAAAGTGGCTGTCAGTCTTGCCGATGGCATGGCCCCCATCGCTCCGCGTGGAATGAACGCTTCCCTTCCTCGTCCTGAATCACATGGCACTTCACACACTCCTCCTTCCTAGGCCCTTAGGCTGAGATTTGTGAGCCTTATCTGGCGGGCCTGTCCGCCGATTCATTCTCGAGATGCCGCCATGGATTTTTATGTGCGTGAATTGAACTTCCGCCCCTTGCTTCCCTCACGCGCGAGTTTCCTCCACTACCGCGACAAGAGATAAAATTCAAAGAGTGGCAAATTCATCCTAACCGTCAGCAGCACGGAGAATCTCCTCCTGCTTGAGAGAGCTCTGCTGCCAAGTCACTGGAAGGCTGCGGTGTAACGCTGTCGTTGCATTGGCCGTTTCGGTAACCGTTGCGGTCTTCGTAATAGTAGAGAACTTCACTACGGGGATGTAATGGTCCACGAAGACGGTCTGGTTGACATACTCCACCGTGTGCGTAGCGTGGTCGATGAAGGCTTTCTGATGGGCGATGGTAGAGAAATGGACCTTTTATCTCTGGTATCTGGATCTTATATCATCGATATCGCGCTGGAGACCGACCTGTTGGCACAAGTCATTGCGATCTGATCGAGATGAAGTGGCGATACCACACGGGAAAGGCGATCAGTATACGCTTCAAAGCGGCCAATCACCCATTTCTTGCCAGGTGAGGATGGCTTCCTCTGGAGCGTACCGGTGAGGCCCATTGCAAATCCCCATGGACCGTATTTCTGCGATGTCGTGCTCAAAGATGACAGCCAAGGGTCGTAGATAGGACTGCACTTGTGCTTATGGCGAGACTCCATGCTAGGCAAGTAATTCTGCCAAACATTAATCTGCGGGACCGGGGAGAAACGCCGTCACTGTCGATTTCACGGCTCGACGGAAGCGGGATTCAATGTAGCTGGAAGCGCGGTTCGGCACCCAAATGCATTACAAAGAGTTGTACGTCCTACAATAATGTACGGGTACGCTGGAAAGGCTGGCTCTTGAGAGTCCGGTGTCGGTGTTCTGCGGAAGAAGCAAGTGGTTTGAGGGGTGCGGAAGGTGTCATTCGGGATGGAGACGAGGTAACGACTTGAAGGTTGCTCCGCAGAGACCATAGCGGAGTTTTCTGGATCTGTTGGACCGTGATAGGTGACCACGGTGGAGGGCATATGTTGCGGAGCTTTCAGTGGCCGCTAGTCCCGAGGCGAAATGCAATCTCACTGACGCTGTGGCTCTGGTCTGGAAAAAGAAGCCGGATTCGATTAGCTAAATCTCGTCTCCTATTCTCGAACATCAATCGAGGAGATGCGGCGCTGAGGAGTGTGAGAGAGGAAGGGAAGGACAGAGAGTGATGAGGATGGAACGCGGAAAGATATAGCCTGGCTTCACATGAGCTGTCGGTGACCGGTCTTTCCCACCTCACCAGGACCAAACCCTCAGTGGTACGGCAATGTTATCCTCAGAATCTCCATCCCCTCAGCTCAAGTCTCTGCAGGATGACTTCACCTCCGCCGAAGACATCTCGTTTGCTCCTGCGACTTGTATCCCATCAAGTTGTCCAGTCTAGCTCTCTGAATCCTTGCTCTCCGCTCCTTGAAAATGGTCTGGTCCAGCCGAGGAGTTTGTATCCTCAATTGCGGCCTTTGTGCATCAAAAGGCTCTTCCAGCTACTGGCGTTGACTTCTCGTTTGCTTCCTGGATTTGCACTTCATTGGCTTCCCCAGTGTAGCTCTAGGACTCCTTACTCTCGACTCCTCAAAGTTGATCTTGTTCAGCTCAGGAAAGACTCTCCCTCTATCGCTCCTCATGTGGATTGTTTGGCTTCCTCAGCCACCGTTGACCAGGCGGTCTTTCTCGAGCGGCATCAGGCCGACCAATCATCTTGGTATCCACGTATAGATATGGTGTACTCGCATCTTGAATCCGAGGACGTGGGCGTTGGCTTTGGGAGTGGATTTGTGGTACGGCGAGGTAGAGGATAGGCAGATTCAGGCAGTTTCGTCAATCTGTTCCAACTCTGTCAGCATCGCTCCAAGGCTTGCCGAGCATTAAAGAGGTATGTATGACGTACCAGTACTGTCGAGGTTCAGCAAGAGCAGAGGGGATGAGGTATGATGGCCGAATTGCTCCAAGGAGAGAAGGAAGATGTAATAGGGCCAAGGAGCGAGGGAAGGTGTGATATGGCCGAGTTATCGATCGATGGCAATCGGATCGCAGAACGGGACAGTGCTATGTGGAAATGCTGCCAGCACTTGACCGGTGTTTAATCAGCCATCCAGAAAGGAACCGATCTCTCACAAATGTCATCCAGACCGCTAGATCAATCTCATCTCCAGCTCGCAAGGGCTCCAGTCTGATCCGCTGGCTGCCTTCTCCAAGTTGGATAATGTCCTCGCGAACCCAGGTCATTCTTGTCGGCTACGCAAGCTCTCGAGAGGGACCACATGCTTGGGCGTGTTCCTCCGAGGCACATTTCTGCGTTGCCCATTCCGATCGACGTTTATACGCCTAGTCGCACCGTGCGTCGCGAGCTGCTCGGCAAGGGAATGCTTTCAGACGGCGAGGCACCGACGGCGAGTCTGAGGCGATGTCAGCTCTGTGAACAACTTCTGTCAGCGGGAAGGAGATCTCACTCTCAGACTAATTGGCAAAAGCGTGTGACATGCCCATATGTGACCGGCACGTACCCTCCACGTAGCCCCTCCGACGAGTGAACAGTCAGGAACGGCATACGATGTACCGTCGCAAGGCGCTTGGAAGTCTGTGGCGAAGATGATGCCGATTACGTTGCTGAAACCCGAAAGGAAGTAGGAGCGGAAGCAAGAGAAGCTGCATCTTTCCATAAGGGTCTGTGCACTCTCGCGGCTGCCTGGCGGTACACGTTGGGACGGCAGTACCTCGTGCAGCTCCCCACACACAACAAATTCTCACGTAGCTCTACATCGCGTTTACACTGACGTCGGAAGTTCTTGGTTTACCGCTCTCCCGTCGATTCGGTCATTCCGAAAAGCAAGTCTGGCGAACAAAGCGCAACGATGTGGTTCCTCAGGGGAGAAGCACAAGACCCTTCGACGCAATTCCTCCTTGGAGGCTAATCTGTCAGACACATCGCCTCGATATTGTGGCTTAAAATCCATACAAATAGTATCTGGCATCGGCCACGAGGTTTACAATCGCA